TCCAAACTCTTCACCCTTGTGTGAATAACCCTATTAGTGTTGATGTTAACCTAGCATAGGAAAAAACACGGGGCTGCCACTGCTATGCTCCTGTCTAAGAATGGTAGTTGCCTGTCTGGCATGCTGATCCTTTTGTTTCAATGATATTGAATCACAAATCAGGAACAAGTATGGGGATAAGGACTTTTCATGCAACTGATCTGAATACTCGCTATAAAACCATAACCCAATGTTGTAGCCAGTGTGTCAGCATAACAGTTAGGCAACTGATATTTTCAGCAATGGAAGCCCTTGTATTTTTCTCATGGCAGGTTTGCATTAAATTTGAGCTCCAAGATTAAACAATCCCCGCACTGCAAGGGTTAAACATGAGGATGGTTGAGGTCCCCCCACAACCTGGAGCGTCAGAAAGAAAAGGAGAGCGCCAGAAGCCTGCAGGATGAAGGAATAAGGTAAGTATTATAGCTTATTCCTCTACCTGTAGACGGGTTCATTCTTCTTGACATCATAGGTTAAATGTTGGCATAGAACCACACAAGTAGACACGATTGTTGTTCACGCCATATTCTTAGGTTGGCTTCACACTTGTGTTGAGGATGTTATTTAACCCCATGTTATCACAAGACACAGGACTTAGTGCGCTGCTGTGCAATTCATTTGGACAAGGGCACTTAACTGACACTCAAACCCCAACCTCTAACCTTACCCATAAAACCTAACCGTAAGGGCCCACTCACACATTTGGCAGTGACCTGCATTGCACAACACTGGATCAACGCAGTTCACCGCAAATGTTTTCTATGTGTCCCATTCAGACCACAACGCAAGTGTTATGGGTGGTGCGCTGCACGAAGATGCATGCTGCATTTTATTGCAGCATATTGGATGCCACCTTAGACCGCATGTGCTGCACTGCCATGCGAGGACCTGAATGGAGTGTGCAAGCTGTACACTCCACATAAAGTTAAAACATTTTTAAAAAAAATTGTAAATAGTGACAGCTCTAGTAGTATACAATACAACACACACACTGCCGAAGCTGCAACAACGCACTAGCCCGCCAAAGAAAAATAGGGATGAGCCAATACAGTTTTTTTTTGCATCAAGTATGAGTACCGATATTTTGGTACTCGCTGATACTGAGTACCGATACTGGTACTTCCGCTTGCATGGAGCCGGCTTCCTGGGCAATCAAGAAGCCAGGCGACCGGTAATGACACGCTGCTCGGCTTCTTGATTACCCGGGAAGCCGGCTCCATGCTGTTTGGCTGGCTCCATGCTGATTGGCTGGTATTGGGGGTATCAAGGAAAAAAACTGCTCCACCTCCTTCAAGTTGGATGGGTTTTGCTAGCCAATAGGTTTTGCTGACCAATCAGGAAGCTGGGCAGCATGAAAGGACTTGCTGCCCGGCTTCCTGATACTGGACGTTGCGGTATCAGGATAGGCATCCAGATGGACCAGCTTAGCAGCGATGAAGCAGAAACCTTGATTGAAATTACAAAAAAAGAAAAGGGTAGTCAGCATAAAAGGTTAGACCTTTCTCAGCTGGGCAGAGAAAAGACATCCATCCTCCTGGGACATTAGCAAAAACTAAGGCATGCTGATACTAGGAGGGGTTATACTGGGCTGGCCCACATTTGGTTTGTTTGCCACTGTCCAATCCTTCTCTAGGAGGCAGTAATAGTCAACAGGCTCTGAAATCCTGTGTCCTTCAAAGGATGAGGAAGAAATAAATGCGGCAGCACATAATTATATGTGCATTTTTACTTTTTTTAGTCCCTCTACTACAAAGTCCCACAAATACCCGTTGAGCCTACCAGTGAAGTCCATGTAATTCATATTCCTGTAATGGTATGGTAATGATGTTGCACTGCTCCTGAATTCAGATCAGTTTCCATGCTCATGTAGGCAGTGCCTGCTTGCACTGCAGTGGGATAAAAATAGTTGCAGGGGCATGGCTATCAGTATTGGAACGGCTGATTCACAGGCCTTTAGCTTGTGAATCAGCAGCTGGACACACCTAGTCCTGCCATCAGCTTTCTTTCAGCTTGCCTCTGTTGCTGAAACCCTCCCACTGTGAGATGCAGTCTGGTATAAGACACAAACGAAGCAGGATTCGACTCGAGTCAGGGAAGGTAAATAAAGGATTTGTTTACTCTATGAGGCTTGTGAATCACAGTAACTGGGTTTGGTTCTTGTTTAGACTGTCATACAGGAGCCTTAAAGGGTTTCTAAACCCTCAGCCTTTTTTGCATATATTTCCTGCTACCAAGCAGTAGATATATGCAAAAAGTTATTTTATTTTTTTAAACGCTTAACAGTGGTTTAAACTAACCTGTGTCTTCCCCGCGCGCTCCCATCCGAAAATGTGAAAATTCTCGGGCGGCCCCAAAGGATCTTGCTTGTCACTGGTGGGGCATCAAGATCAATGTCCTCACTGTTTTTTGATTGGACAGCGTGGACCAATGGCGCTTTGCTATTGGTCCAAGCGATCGACAGAGCTCACGCCTCTAACACAGAGTAGAGGCTGTGACAGCTCTTGCGTCACCAAGTTAGGTTACACAAGCAGTGGAGAAGCCCGCTGCTGTGTAACCTAACTACCTGTCAAAAGCCGGATGCAGCGCTGCCTGTAATTAACAGGCAGCGCTCCGTCCATGACCAGTTACACAGCATAGCTTTCCCTGCTGTGTAACCTGTAACAAGCCGATCTGAATGGAGAAAAAGCTGTCAGCTTCAGACTTGAAGCTGACACCTTTTTTTCTTCCCAATACTAGGTGAGGCTCTGCCTCCCCTGACCACACGTCCCTGGATGTTGCTAACTAATTGTCCCATATTGTAGTCCTTGTGACATCTTGTATGGTCACAAGACCGGCCCCTGGAGTGCTCCCTTGAAGTGAAGGACTATAGGGAGGTGGTCCAGAGACCAGTCTAGAGGCTGCACAATAACTTAGAGAGGACCAGTCTTCCAATTCTTTGTACAGATAAAAATGGAAAAATTGAGGTTTATATTTCATCTTCTACTGTATTGCAGAATAGCTTACAATTCCTGCCATGGTCCAGGTTCAGCTTTACCAACTCTTTTAGCAGGTAATGGGGTTCCTGCACAATTGTTTTAATGGTGTGTAAACCAAGTGGCTGGAATTGCCCTTTAAACGCAAATACAAATCTCAAAATCTCCTGCCCTGGGATCTCATGTACATTTTAAAGGGTTTGATAAAGGTCACTCATGGAACTATCCTGTGGGCTGTGATAATGTACACTCAGAAACACACACATTTCCCTTCACTTCTTATCAGAGAAAAAAAAGTGATTGATTTATTCATATTTCTTGTGCTAAAAATAACAATGAACACTGCACTGGAGCCGAATCAGCAAGCAATGAAAGAAACCAACGTCTTCCAGTGACTGTCATTTTTAAAAGCATTTAATGACATAGCATATATTTAACAGAGAGGGTAAAAGTCTAGAACAGGGACCAAGCGAGCTCTCCGCCCATCCAGCAGTTGGTGAACAGCGCCCCCTATGAGCACAGACAGGTGAAAAGAAGGGTGGAGGGCTGCACTCCAGCAACTGATGGAGGTATTCAGAGCCAAACAGCCCACCTCTAGTGGTACAGTTCCATTCAACTGAAAGCCATTTCCAGGACTATAGGCCCAGTCATTGAGAGGAGATTATTCCTAATAAATGTCATTCTGATTGTGCAGTCAAATTTCATTACAATAGTTACAGTGACAGAGAAATGCACACTATGTATCAAATAGCAAAATAATGTAGCAAAAATTATAACACACAGTGCTGTAGCTGACAAGCAAGTAATCAGTTGAGTAACATTACTTTTTTGTTCCAGTAAATGCTTCATTTCACTTGTACATTTAACATTGAGGATTCCTTTAAAGAGTTTATTATACAGCTAGTTCTCATTATAGTTTGTACTAGAATTCAATCAGAAACATACAATATAGTGTATTTCAGCAGAAAAAAATAAACAAAAACAAGAATTTTTTTTTTTTTAAATTACAAGAGTATTTAAAACGGCTATTCTTTCCAAAACAAGGTTCTCCAGGAAAGAGTTGAACACTTTCCAAGTGCTCACTAAGGGGTGTTCAGTGATTTAAAAGCCTCAGCTCATTAACTTCCCTGCAGAGCCAAGGACTGTGTGATTTCTGTGTCCTATTCTGAAATCAGCCATGATTAAATGGACTGGTTGTTGGCACATGAGCTGCTGTAGAGCTCAATAAGTGATTATGGCAGAAGCTCTCCTAACAACCAGCCTGGTCTTAGAAAGAATAAGGGCTCGGCCTTCACGCATCCCTCATGGTGAAAGGTAATGAGCTGTGGGCTGCTTCCATCTAAACAGTCCCCTTTCATGAGTAAGTGGAAAAACTTCACACACGTGATGTTAGAAACCCATGTTGTGTTGATGCTTGGGCATCAATTCATCTACAGGCAAAAAAAATTGTGTCTGCACTCCGGTTACCAAATACTCCTGTGCATCTGACCCGGTAACAGTGGACTGCTAGCGGAAGAGGAACTACAAGCGCCTACGTGCCTTAGAAGGCATGCTGGTACTTCCTCCGCAGCTAAAGGCCGCACATGTTACCGGACATTTATGTACACCACTGTTTATAGTAAAGAGATTCAGTGCTCACTCCTGTGAGAACAGTAGTGATGAAAGTGTCTGAATGTATTCGTCTACATCAATCTTTGATGACCAATTGTTTTGATAATTACTAAAAGCACCGCTGCCTTGTATCATATCAGTGTAACTAGAGTGTGGGTTGTTTCAAGACAGCCTCACAAAATTGAGGAAAATGTTTCAATATTTAGATTTAATCTACAATGTTTTTAGAAAAAAAGAAACCAAAAGGGAAAAAACAAAACAAAAAAAGGAAAGCAAATAATGGTCCTCCCTCTTGTATAGATGCCCAATGTCCCTCAAGTCATGTGTGTCTTATCAGCATTCTATAAATAAAGGTTTTTTTTTGTGTGTTTTTTTTTTATTATTATCTTTTAATCACATTGGGGGAACATTAGGCACAGAGTAATGTATTGGTTCTGAGCTTGCATGCTGACATTTCACTGAAAAGAAAAAGAAAATATAATAGAAGTGCAGTGGTTTGTATCATTTTGTTTGTTTTAGGTTGTAGTTCACTTCTTTTTTCCAAACAGGCTGAACCTTTTCTCCTTGTCCTTCTCTTTGTCTTTCTCCCGCTTGCCAGGGCTGGACTCGGTGGTGACTGTGACACTGGCTGGCATGGTTTGGGCGCGGCTGGATGCTGGAGTGCTCTGTGTGCTCAGGGACACCTCGGTTTTGTCTGATGAGATTGCATTTGTGATGGCCTGGATCCATGTGTTCATCTCCTCCTATGGGAAATGAGACAAGTCACATATATTGCCACAAAATGGTTAAAAACCTAATTTTAAGGAATCGCTTATATAGCATGTACACGAGTGTAGCCGACACCTATGGTGTACTTCAACTCCTTTCATTACTCAGCAAGGAACTGTTCACACCATGTCTGCTAAACTGTGTTTTTCTGCACACCACCGCACGTGTACGGTGTGAACCGGGAACATGGAAAACAATTGTTTTTATGTGCCCTGTTCACACCGTACATGTGCGGCAGTGTGCAGAACAATGCAGCTCAACGGGCAATCCCCAAAAGATGCTCAAGAAGGACTTCATAAAGGGGTTCCTGAAACCAATGCAGAAAATGGCAGTGATACAGTCTCCATGAAAAGACTAAGGTCACACAGCTTCCCTCATTAAAATACAACGGGGGGAATTTATCATAGCAATTGGGAGTGTTTGAACTTGCACGGAATATATTTGCGCCAGAATTATGATGCTAGTGTAATGTTGTTGATAAATGAGATTTAATAGACTTCAGGAAAGAAGACTCGTAACTCCAGGCAAAAAGCTGAATTGTCGCTTCTTGAAGACGTGGTCATGGGGACTTGAGTTGTGATTGTTTTGTTAGGTGATGCTCCAGTTTCGGACAAGCCACAGAACAAGTGCAGATGAAAACAGGTGCAAAAAACATGCAATTGAAAAAGTAGTGCAAGCGCAGGTCAAAACAGGCGCACATGATAAAAGACAGATTTGCACACATGATCTAAGGTATGAATGTATTGTAGACACAACTATCCTTAGACCTGATTCATAAACCTGCAGGGGCATCTTAAAGTGAATTTAAAAGCATGCTAAAGTGGCTTTCCAGGCAATACGTATGTAATTTTAGCATTCCCTAAGCACTATTTACCACACTTTAGGCTTAATTGCAGCTTGATGAATCAGGGCCCTCTTGTTATATCAACCAAAAAAATGTAGGCAACCCTTTATTTAGCGCTAGCTAGGAAAGAATGCATACAGTTCAGCCAACAGGTCAATGTGGGCAATAACCCTACACAGGGTCTGCTCCAGATTTTATAAAACAACCCTAAAGATCGTCACTGTTAAATGGTCACTGGTGCAAGAATACTTACATCATCTTTGGCTTGGAAGAGGTACTCATTTCCATCATTCAGTCTGGAATAAGGAAACGGAAAACATACATTATAATCAAATAACTGTCAACCTGCTCATTTACAGAGTTATAAATGATCATTATCCTGATTCATCATATGGAACATTATAATGAAGAAGTGATCAGATGTCTAACACTGACTTTACTGAATGCTAGCCATTAACTTCTTATTTTTAGTGCTCACCATGAAGGTCCGTACCAGTTCTAGCCTGATACAGATGTGAAGTGGAGAGGACATGATGGTGATTTACCCTAAACGTTTCGTTTTCCAGTTAGCCAGTAACATTCTGTATGAACACCTACGTAAAGACTAACAGGAAGTCATTCCATCTGATATAAATGTAAAGCAAGCAATTGGAATTACTGCAATTGTAAAATATTTTCCAATTACACATTCATTTACTAAAAGCCTTTTACGTGTTCAGGTCCTAAGAGATGAAATATGAACACTGAGGGGAGGTAGAGTCCACTTACTTCAGCTTGAATACATGCTTTTTCTTCTTGTAGTCAGTGGCTACTTCACAGGCGGCTTCTTTCAGATTCACCGGAACCTCATTGTGGTAGGGAATACCAGAAGATGCAGACTTGGCGTCTTTATAAAAGCCCAGTTCTTGATTGTTTATCACACAGTATACATTATGCCAAGATCTAACGGAAACAAAATCATCAATTAACACACCCCATTTCCAAGGGAAGCAAAGATGTTTCTTTTTTAATAGTGATGACATGTATGGCTTTATATTTAGAATATCTGTGACACACAACAGCAGTTATAGACGTACAGCTGCCACAAAGGAATCGTTTTGAAATGTTTATAAAGGGAACAATGAAATAAGTAGCTCTAGCTTCAATACTCACCTTCAATCCGAAGCTGCCCCCTGCAGTACCTCTTCTTCCCCACAAGTCTGCCACGTTCAATGACACCTGGCATCACTCATCGCATAAGACTGAGGAAGGACCATGAGTTTAGGATTACCTTCCCTCTGAGCACAGCACCCTGCACTCAATTTATTGATGCAGAGAGTGGGAATTATGTCATTTTAGTGCCCCTCTCTGTGCCATGCAAGATCACCCACTGCCAGGAGAAGACCAAAAGAGGAAGAGGACCCAGTGTGTCAGGTAAACACACAGATGGAGGAAGCCTCAAAGGAGGAAACCCAACGTTTGGAGTTAGCCTTTAAGATATAAATCTTAATTCTTAAAAGCAGTAACCCATAACAACCAATCAGGATGTATTCTTCTGAAGTCAGACACGTACAATATTAATTCTGACTGGTTGTTATAAGTTACTGCACTTGAGGACAGGGACTGTAGAATCTGAAATCTTCACTGAATAAGGATGACTGTAGGTAATGGACTGGAAGTATACTAGCTGTTATATCTCTCTCTCTCTATATACACACACACACACACACACACACACACACACACGTACGTACTTCTAACAAATGTAATTCAGGTAAAAGGTAATTTGGTCTTGAATGATCACATGATTGGCTGAATTACATTTCATGTATCTTAAGCTGGTCATACACTGCTCTATATTATTCGTTCAACCCGCCCCACAGGCAGAAGAAAAAACGACAGCAAATTCCTCCATCAACGCTGCGAGTGCCTTGATCGAGGAATTCCCAGCAATGTCTTTTGTATTCCAATACCTGGACAGCCGCTCATTAGCTGCCGGCTCTGTACGTACAAAAATTTCCAACCGCCTCCTTTGATCAGTGTATGACCACCTTTGTACTGGCGGCACAAACATCAATTCTGAATAGTTTACTTAAAGGAGAACTATGAGGTGAGTGATTTCCACTCACCTCATAGTTCTAGCCGACCTGTGACAATGAGACTGTCACAGGTCGGCAGATCGGGAGGTGAGCGAACATATACCGGCGTTCGCTCACCTCTCGATCCTGTCACGGCTCTCTGCCGTGACAGGGGGAGGGGCTGGCTTCCCCTCTCCCCGCTCCGATCTGCCAGCGCTGACTGGCGGAACGGACGGGGGAGGGGGCGGGTACAGCTGGCTCTGCCTCTAGATAGGCAGAGCCAGCTGTCACTCACGCAGCTGGGCGGATCCCGTCATCTACGTCGGGATCCGCTCCAGGTGCGGCGTCTCAGTATACCGCGAGCTGTAGCTCGCGGTATACTGAGCTTAGGGTAACGGGAGGACGCTAGTTTGTGTCCTCCCGTTACCCTAAGGAGAACTATGGGGAAAAACGCTGACCCCATAGTTCTCCTTTAATTGGAGTTTGCAATTACAGTATTATATTTTGATGCCACCAGACATTTATTGCTTTGCATGGTTTGATTCATGTTACAATACAAGATCATGCATTTTGCCTAACAGGCCTGCTAGCACTTACCTGTTTGAGGCTTTCTTGTTGTGCGTTTCCCATTCATGTTTACGATGTAAAGTGCCTTCAAACTGAGCAGAAGGAATGTCCTGCGTCTTGGCGGGTAATGTGGCGGCAGTCTGCGGCTGCATTCCTGATTTCGACTTGCGGTCAGCAGTCGGTGATGGAACCGGACTGGATTCTTTCGAACTTGATCTCTGCTCAGTGGATCCGTTGACCATTTCATTGGTTTCAGCATTTTCACCCATCTAGGACCACCAGAAGACAAGTTTATTCACATATGATATACATGCCTTTAGACCATCAGCAAGAGTTAAGATGGCTGTGCACAAGCTATTTAACATAGCTGCCAACAGCTCACCTGAAGAGGAGTGAGGTACAGCAAATCTGCTTTTCCACCAGTATACAGTAAGGAAATTAATATAGATTTATCAATGTGATTAGTGTAGACAGGAAAAAACAGAGTCAGAAGTGAGAGGTTAGATTAAAGCTGTACCTCAATCCTTTCTTCGTTTATATTTATTAAACAGTAAGCTATCATGAATGCTCGGACATGACTGCATATGTCAGCCTTTATGAGCTTTAGAATAATAGCGCCAAGAACAGTGGGGTACAGTAACCCATGGCAACCAATCAGATTTTAATTACACTACGCATTATTTGCTGAAAGTATTCCGATTGCTTGCTAGGGGATTTTGCACAACATTGTCCTTTGTACTGTCAATATATAAACCCAACTGCCTGCTAAACATTACAATAGGACAGATCTTCACAAGCATTGTCAGATACCGAATGGTCACGGCATGTTTCTGAAAATGCTCTTTTTTTTACCAGAGGTAAAAAAATTAATTCAAAATACATGCAAAGATTAAAACGGAATTAACACCATGCATTTCCACAACCTCCATCCCAGGTTAGGTTGGATTCTTAGGAGAGTAGATGGGAAATTAGGTATAGTAAGACACAATTTTGTATCGATACCATGAGTTACTTTGTTGGTCATTATAAAGTGAACTGGATTGATGTTAAGAAGGGACAAAAGAAATCAGTACAATCACTCAACACCACACAGCTATTTACCCCCAAAACAAAGACAGAACCAAGGCCTTGCCCATCTCGTGCTTTGCTGGTCATGTTGCTTGCTGCCCGCTGTGACCGAGACGGTCTAGAGAGCCACGTTATCCAGCAGCTGACTGGTCAAGCTGGAGACGTCCTCCTCAGGAGCCATTCTTATGTTATGGATTCCTATTAACTTTTCTTTACACATATGACACTCTGATATGCTATTTTGTATTTATTTTGCCTTTTAGTATTACTGTCGCAGCCTGGAGTATGCCATTAGCAAGTTATGGAAGCTGTGTGCTACTCACTGTGTTTAGTACATTACAAACACTGCCAGTCCTAGTTTTCACTGACAAGAAGCATGAAGCCATGGCTTTAAGGCGTTCTCCTGGCTAAACTAAACTTTAACCTCTGTTGTGTAGTAACACAAGTTTGCCCCCCCTTCCACCATGCACTGAATCAAAAATGGAACCCATGTTGGCACTCCATTAGGGGACTAAGGTCAGATTAAGACAAACAATATGACGGATCAAGAACTGCTTGTGATAATCAGGTACGGTGGGGGCACTATTGCAAGTGTCAGCAGACATTGTTATCAGACGTTTTCTACTTTGTACAAAAGGTGGAAAAATTAAACAATCTCTACCAACTATATGCCAAACCAAGTTGGGCTGAAAAGTTGCAGGGGAGCTGGCAAAGAAGATAAAGGATCAGACCATGTATAACCACCTTAAGGTTATTGAGATATGCAGATTAAACAAAATACGCCATCCCTGTCACACCTGCAATACATCTACAGCTTTAACAAAGCATATATTTTTGGGTATACTGTAAGATCTCAAACAACCAACAAAACTTTCTTTGCTTATTAATACTTGGGGCCAGTGAGGTGACTACGCAAAAGCAAGGCCTTGCTCTCAACTTTGAGATGCAATTGGTTTTACAGTGTCATGGCACATCATGGATTTGATTTTACCTGCAGGTAGTACTACAAGTACTACAATCTGAATTGTTGTTTCTTGTAAGAGTGGGAGGGGGGACCTCACTGTGTTGCTACATGTAAAAGTCTACAAACAGGGGGAAAATGTTAGTTTACCCTGGAAAACTCAAAATGCTGCTTAGGTAATTAATAGCAGGCAGCAAGACGAAAATGAAAGTAATGAGCGCTTGTTGAAAAGTCTTGCATTTGATTCATGAGATTCAAGACTCAATATGGGAAAGGCTGGTTGACTGCCTTCACACATTCTTCACCTGATCGGCTAACATGGAGTCACAGCACAAAACAACAGGTAACAACATATCTAGGGTGTATATCAGACAGCTTTGCACATGTTAGGATGTAGAATGGTCATGGACAAGAGAGACCACATTCTCTAACTCAAGTAGTGGCACTTTCCAAAGAGGTTTTTATCACTGAAGAGGGAAACACAATTTAGAACTAAATAATGGGCATAAAATAAAAGAAGCACGTCAGGGACTTTGGTATAAAAAAATTAATAAATATGCGTCCCTCAATGGCAAAACCCCTTTATCTCCTACTAGGAATGCACCAATACCAGTTTTTCGGTACCGAGTACCGACATTTTCTTATCAGTACTTGCCGATAAAGAGTACCAATATCAGCATCTCGAGGTAGTGTGGGCCCGGAAGCCAGGCTGCCTTGCAGTGTCGCTAGGCAGCATGAAGCCAGCTTCCTAGCCAAATCAGGAAATCGGGTCATGACCTGCCGCCCAGCTTCCTGATTGGCCGTGAAGACAGCTCTGTGCTCCCTTGCGGCACTGCCGGTCAGAGGGACTCTCCCTCTAACCGGCAGTTCCAGTATCAGGGTAAGTACAAGTACTCCCCCAAATGCTCAGTATCGGCACCTATACCAGTATCGGTACATTCCCATCTCCTACCATTACTAACTTAGGTGGTTGCATAGGAAAATCCCACCACTTTTGCAGCCTGGACCTTCAGCTATATCTGGCTTTTATCAAAACAGGTAACAGTCATCACATCACGGCTGTAGTGGAAGTTTAAGGCTGGAATAGTGTTAACAAAGCCTGAAGAGTGGAAGTCTTGGGAGAAAACGGAACCGCTGTCTTGTTAAATGTTTAAAACTAATTTAATTGTTAGGGGTATCTTTCCCTAGCTTCCACTGTTTGCATACACCAACCTGAGACACTGAAAAGACAACCTTTCTGGTCTTCATTTCTCAATGTGCCTCAAAGAGCTTTATGTGTCTGACTGGTTGCTATAGGTGGCACAAACAGTTTTTGTTTCACTGATAAATGAAGGATTATGTGGGCCAAACTGATGTACATCTATAAATTACTGACTTGTTATACCTGTTAAAGCAAAGCTACAAAGCTTCAGCAGTTTTCTGCCTGAGCATGCAGCAGGGACCAGTAACCTGAGCCATCCAGCTGGTAAGGAACTATAAACTTTAGCACATTATGAAGTAATAGCAGTCCGTACATAGTGGGAGGACTGCGGGGTACCCAACGCCAAATTTAGAGGGCAGCATACAATCAGATGCTAGCTCCCACAAACAGCATGTTCCTCCAGTCACAGAAATGAATTTGGCCATATGAGCATACTAAGTGCAGACCACTGTATATTCTATAGAAAAGAAACATATCTGCAAAATGAGTATTAACTAGGTGGTGGTGATGTTAGGGCAAAACTATGCATTATATGTTTTGAGGAAACCTGTACATAGTCATGCAATGGCCTATTTGTTTAAAAATGCTAGTTGCCTGGTAGTCACAGACCTGGAGCAAGCATGCAGCAAGTCAGAGTGAAATTGCAAACTAGTTCCCAGCTAGTGACTTGAGTTTTAACAGTGGCGGTCTACTTCGCTCACTTCCTGTCCTGGTGACAACAAGGTGAATGAGCAGTAATAAACCCGACAGTCGAAAACGTCCCATTTACAAAAGCTATATCCATCCTTTTGCCGAGGTTTCATATCGCTTCTTGTCCTTAGGGGTTCTTAACCACTTTCTCTAAAAGAAAACCATTGGCTGGAGTTGGGCTTTAACAATCTCATGTTTAGCTGAACCCTTACCAAAAAAAACCTAAGACAGATGAATACATTCATATACTTCACTGCTGCAGAAGATACATCAGCTGACTATTTTGCAATATTCTGACTTGCTGAACAAACTACAAAATGTCTCATCATGTAGCATGGCACAAAGAGCTCTCCTGTGCACAGCGCCAATTACGAATCCTCTTTCCTCAATTTGACTAAAGCACAATTCCTGAGAATAATATCCGACATGGTTATGTTCAGTGATAGTACATCATTGTTCTTTCCTCTATATAAAGAAGCGTATTTGATGAATGCTAGATAAGGTCACGCATTATTAAATGTGTGGATGATGTATCACTAAATCCAATGCAGAATATTTCACAAAAACACTAAAATTACACTTCTACAGCTGCTAACACTATGTACTGTATATTGTCTGTGCTGGTCATAGCATTTATCCAGTGTAGGTTTAGGAATGAATTGGAGTATCTAATGATGTGCTGTGTGCAGCACAGCCACAGACAGTTTACTTTTTTACACAGCTTGGGGTTTATAAAATGTCTTTTCTAGCAATGTTAACAAACAGCACAAATGAAAAGGTAAGCTCACATGACAACAATTAATACACAAATGTACTAAAACATTTAGAAATAAACAAGCAAATAAACTTTAATTGGACATGCTTTAAGCATGCAAACAAAAATAAAGCACAAACAATGAAACAAACTTTAAGGATGTAAAACACACAGCAATGATTTAATTCAGACGGATGTTAGTTGCCTATAATCAGTGACTTGCAGTCATGGTGCTGGTGATATGACTCAGGGGTTACATGCAGTATCATGGCTGCTGGCAAGGCTTCAACATGTGCTATATCGGTGCAAAGCTGTACTGCAACCAATTGACAGACTGGAGTCTCTGCACCCAATATTTATATATGACTTTTTGTACAAATAAATAATCTTTTGTCTCTGGCAAAACACATGTTGAATTGTAAAAATCAAATAAATTATTGTAAATAATCATATGTTTCAGAAAATAAAAATATATCTATGAACGCATCATTGACATATTATCCATACACTAAGCAGCCATTTTGTGAGCTGAAGAAAGAATGGTTTCTTCACAACAATGTGGCCGATTGGTTCATTGGGAACCAGTGATATTACTGAAGTGAAATGTTATCGGAGCTATGGGCCACAAGCATAAAAAGGATATGGATGAGGTCACCCTCCTTTTCCCTCAGACACCAATCAGCTTCTCCCTTTCATTTAGGCTCTGCTCACACCTAGATGTTTTGTAGCTCAAAGCAAAGCGTGACAAAACACTCAAGACACTCATTTCTATGGCCACTGTTCACAGCTAAGTGTTCTGTTGCAAGCAGAAAACCGCCAGTCCTTGGAAAATGTACATGAGCTACTTTTTGGTCCCATAGACTTCAATGGGAAAACGCCTGGAAACACGCGTTTCAAGCATTTTGTTGCACAAGGATTGCCGTTAACGTCTATAGCAGTGGTTCTCAACTCGTGGGTCGCGACCCAAAGGTGGGTCGTGACACCCTCTGCAGTGGGTCGCGGCGTCATGTCTGCATAGACCGGCCCATCTGCATTAGAGAGAACTAGAGGGGGAATTTGTGGTTCAGCCTGTGGAACCTCATAATGTCAAACTGTCCCCTCTCTCCCGGCCTCTCCGATAAAGTGGTATGGCCCGGGGAGAGAGGGGACTATTTCCTCACTTTCGGGCCGGCGCTTTAATATCAGGAGCCGCGGCGCCCGACAATTAAGTTATAGTTCCGGTCTGCACTGGAGAGTACAGCAGATATCAATCCGCCGCTGTATCTACTGTACTCTCCAGTCCAGATAGTTCAGTCGGCGGGAATCAGAGAAAGGTAGGCAGGCAGATAGGGAGATGTGCACTGTGGCAGGACAGGGGACACTGATGGATATTATGCATTCCAAGCCCACATAATATCCATCATGTATATCCATCACTGTCCCCTGTCATAATGTATGTTAATTAAATACACAATTAATGTTATTACACAGACTGGGCTCAGAATACATAATGTCCATCAGTGTCCCCTGTCATATTGTCCTCTGTCAGTGCAGAAGCTGGGGAGGGTATACATAATGTCCATCAGTATCAGTGGCGTAACCAGAGTTATGGGCGCCCGGGGCAGACATTTCCCCCCCCTTATATAAACATCCACTGGGACTGTACCCCGCAACCGCCACCCCCACACGTTTTTATTTAAATTTTTTTAAATATTTCACTTTTATTCTTTATAATTTTGTAAATTTTTTTAAATTCATTTACTTTCAGTTGTTTACTGTTCAAAATGTTTATATATATATATTATATATATAATGTTTCTGAATACTGCACAAGTTGTTTTGTGTAATAAATTTAAATGTTTCAGAAATGAAATCATTTTTGGGTCACGCCTTAATGACCAAGGAAACATGTGGGTCCCGAGGTTACACAGGTTGAGAACCACTGGTCTATAGGACTGTAATGTCCTATAGTGCTGTAATCAGCCAGAAAGTAGCTTATGTGCTTTTTCCAGCGTCAGGCGTTTTTCTGCTTGTGACAAAAAAAACACCAAGGTGTGAACAGGGGCCATAGAAATGAATGGGATTTCTTGTCTTAAATGTTTTTTTGTGCTTACCTTTGAGAGACATAATACCTATTTGTGAACAGAGACTTAGGGGTCTATTCACAAAAGGGTGAAGAGTTTGGAGAAGTGAACAATCTAGGGCAAAATAGCCGATTTGGAAAAATTCTCCAATTCAGCTCACTTTCCAGTTCAGCTATGTTGTCCTAGATTGTTCAATTCTCCTGCCTTCTCCAAACTCTTCACCCTTGTGTGAATAGACCCCCATAGTAATCTGTGAGAAACATGAAGACGCCACTGATTGGTTGCTTTGGAACTTGGACTTTCTTACACAAGTGACCCATTGCAGCCCCCGGTCTCCAGTGACCCGAGTAGCCACATTCTCCTGCTGGTCCGGCACACAAAATGGCTTCTCGTGGTATATATTGAGGCCACAAGTGCAATGTCTATAAAATAGTTCTATAAATTCTGTATCTCCGATGTAGATTGAATCCATTTTATTCTAAAAAGAATTTGACAAAAGGCACAGAGACCCAATGTTGGGAAGCGCTGAAAACATAGATAAGCAGCTACATAATGCTTTCCTGACAGAAGAAAATGACATGCGCTATGAAAAAGAGAAAACTGATAGAATACATTTGTTATATGACTTTGATCCTGATGTTGACCATTAGGAAACAAATGAAAAATATAAAATTAGAGGATGAATTTGGAATAAATGTGAAGTAACATGAGTGAATATACAGGAAGAGAACCAAGATGAGGAAAACAAGCCAGATAAGTGAAATGCATTTCTCCAAAACATCATTTTCCAGGTTTGATTTTTTCACACACACACTCCCCACGCACAACTAGGCCAACTGATCACATTCTGAAAGAAACATTGTCCCTGCTGCCTATAGCAAACAATCATCTCTCAGTATGGGAGAACTACAAATATATTTGTTTTGGGTAGCAAGAACAGTAGTTTCTTCAAAATGGAGTAAATAATGCCTATTCTTCAAATAATCCATACCAACCAGGGGTGTGCTGACCACTTCAGGCTACTGGAAATTGATTTCACACTGGGTGATACAGGCCAAGGCACATCAATGTTTTCTGATATACAGCATCAAATAAACCCAGATGCATGATTGGATTTGTAGTTTCATCAGAGCTGGAGGGTGAGAGTGCGCCTACCCCTGCACTGTAAGGAGGGAGATGGATAACCTAACTTGGTCCTAGTGATCAGATGGGCCCTCCAAACCCTTGAACAGTATTGTAACTATACTTTCTCCTTTTATATTGTTAAGAGCTGTGCAAACTGTTGGCGTTCTATAAGTCCTGTACAATACAAATAATAATAATCATGTACTCACTCATACTGATAGGTTTTTCCACCAGATCACCAAATTGAAACCAGTAGCTACACTGCTGACACCTCAGTATCCCAATATTTCACTGAATAAAAAATACTGCTCTATGACCCTAATCTTAATAAACTATCGTTGTGCTATTCCGGGCCTTTCGTGGAATCAGATAAAACGGGATGACACAGCCTCCCCAGGCTGGCAGCAACTGATAAACCAATATACAGGGTGCAGAAACATGGCAATAACAAATTATAATGCAGACATGACTGAAAAGAATCAAATGAAATACAAATTAAATAAATGAAATTATCAAATCAATTGTAGGAATTATCGACCCTCCCAAATACCAGTGATTTAAGATCTGATGGTGAGAATTACTTTAAAATGTGTGTAAACCCAAAATCGAATTTTTTGTATGTTTGGCCTCATTGTATATTATATTCTTATGAAAATCTTTTTTTTGCAAAGTTTACTGCCTGGAGATTCTGCCAGTAACATGAAGGTTCTCATTCATCCAGGTCAACAGTGGTCAACAGTGGGTAATTGTGGGCATAGCATTCTGTTTAGGCTTTTTTTCTTTTCATATCTCTATAGGTTGAAATCGATGGACATGTGTCCTTTCAACCCAACTTTGTAACTATGATATATCTGTAAAAAATAAATCAAGGCAACTGGACTGCTGTATATTTCTTATACATCCGACTAGTTTACTCAATTTATCGTTCTCATTCTGAATTGAGAAAGCTAGTTAGATGAGCAGCGAAACATCTTCAGGAAATACACAGCAAGTCCAGTTGCCTAGATTGATTTTTTACAGACCGGCCAGTAGCAGCATTTTCTGTTTCAAGCTGACGACACCAAGCTGCTCCCTTGCAATCAACACCAGCCTGCCATGTGCACGTCTTCAGTTGGTTGTTGGGCTGCCTATCTAGTCTGCACATGCCTCCTATGGACCGGATAGGCAGTGACTTAATGTCAGTTTGAGAAAAGGAAGTGCTGTTACTGCCAGGATTTCCAGGTAACAAACCATGCAACAGATTCACAGAAAATATTTGCTTTTTAAATGGCATACAGTGAAGTATGATATAGATTTTGGGTTTACATACACTTTAAGGTGCATTTTTGAATTGATCTTGTTTGGTTTATAGGGATCAGGACACTAACGTCACGTATGTTTACCAATGGAGGGGACTGCGGCTCGTCAGGTACAAACTCATGTACTTGTTCTGCTGTATGTGCACCATCAGAATACAAACCAACAGTGCTCTCCAGTTCCATCTATGGGACAAAACACACATTACCCTTTCCCCTTCTATTCTCCAGCAATGTAGATGAAATAAAGCCACTCAACAGAACAATGAACTTATCTGCAGGGACGGTCAGTGAATTAGACGGATAAAAGACTGCTTACAATTTCACTAGTTGGTTACATTTTTAAAATCTGTTTAAATTTGATATATTCAAAAGTTATAACTGTCTGTAACATTAACGTAAATTTAACATTAAATTAAAAGGTTATTCATAAACTAATATACTGTGTACCATGTTGTTTGTGCAAGAATAGTAACACTTTGAACTATGTATATTTCCACTTCATTTTATGGCTTGGAAGTACAAACTACTTCAAATAACATATGTATAAATATATATTTTTTGTTAAACAAGTAAATGTTAGAAACGAAGTTATGCTACTGATGCATTAATAAGATTAAGAGGGGCATTTATAAAAACTGGGTGAAGATTGAACTGTTTCTCATAGCAACCAGTTTCCAAAGAATAAAGATGGATCCTGATCATCTGCTAAGGACATAATACCTATTTTTTCCCCAAATGTGTTTGTACAAATCAGAAATTACCATTCATTTATCTAACTATTCCTAAAGGAATGCCAGCTGGCTGCCAAATATAATACCATTGCTCTATGTGATCAAATGTTAATCCAGCCCCATAGCTGGAATGTCAATCAAAGACATGACTCTGCAGCATAAACTTTCTTCCAGAGTATTCCCACCTCATACTTGACATGTTATAACTAAGGCTGGCCATACACATAACAATAAAGGATGAATTGATTGATTGCAGATCAGACTTCATTTGACAGAACAAAGAAATATTTAGTTCAACTGATTGGGTTTCTCACCCAGACTTTTTAGGAGAATAAATCACACTTAACCACGTTTTCTAAATTATACGGTTCTTTTAGAGAACCAATCCTTATACTGAATTTTATTGTTACTTGTATGGCCAGAAAAAGAAACATGCTTGGTGGGCAATATGTGATATCACACTTGTACTTTTATGTAGAGGATCAACACTTAGGGAGCTCCTAAAAAAATTAAAAAACAACACAACTTGCACGCTTACCATCAGATGACCGAAAGTGAAGGTGTTGCCCATGGAAGCCTATCACATTCCAGCTTTTTGTTATGTAGAACAGATTATGAAAGAGAAGCAGACTGGCTTCTATGGACAACACCTATTGTTATTGCGGTTTTTTTCCTCTCCATAGTGACCTTTGTAAAGCCTTACCTAGCGTACCGCACATGTGATTACACTCTACAGTTCCCATGAAACCCCTGGTTGTAGCCATCTGTCATCTGCTAAGGATAAAACATTTCCTGCTCATACCTAGCAAAATACATCAACTTACAAATAGTACCTTTCATTAGTAAAGTCCGATAAACATGATATCTAGATTATTAAATGTTATTAAGAGCTCATTTCAATCAGTTTAGGATGACGAGCACTAGACCCGTGTGTTCAGGGTTGAAAGGCTCACAGTTCAGACCACTGCCGGTCATTGGCTGCTCTTCGGCTATTAAAGTTTTTGTAGTTTTGGTAGGTTTGTGATCGGTAACTAACCCGTGGAGAATCTTGGTCTGATGGCAATCCGTTCTGAGAAATCTGTTCTTCTTTTCCGTCCCTTAAAAAAAAAAAAGAAAAGACACAAACATGAGATATTGCCGAGTGCCCTCGGTTACTGGCACCAAGCAAATGCACAAATCTCTTACCACTGCTGTGGTGAATCTTCTTCTGACACCTTTGGACTCAACTCAGGCGTGGGAGGCTTGCGCTTCCTCTCCTCTTCCTCTTGAAGTCGACGAACTTCCAATAATTCCAGCTAGAATGACAGACCAAATGAAACCGGGATTTTACTTCACCTCCCAAGACAGATAAAAAACAAACTAAAGTTCTATTGCTAAGTTTGTCTTTCCAGGCAAATTAGTCAGTTCTGGGTGTTCTTGTACTGTAAAGCCTAACTGAAGTATTATAGTTTACCTCTGTGTAGCACCATACCCATGAATGAATTTGCTACAAAATGCCTTAAAATATATTTTCCGTCAGTGAAAATGTTGCTGTTCTGGCCGCGCACTCAAGTGCACTACACTGGCAGAGCGGAGTAGCAGCCACGTCCATAATTACAAGTGTCGTCCCCTAGACTTGTATTGCAGAAAAAGACAGGAGACTTGTCAGACGTGCTGATTACTGAGTGCACCGAGTATAGCTCTGGTGCATAATGGACTGCACAGTCATATTTAGGCTACTTTCAACAAATACTGTAGCAGGAAAGTGAAGGTAAGACTATGAAAATGGAGGTTGTCAGGACAATGTCTCTCATTCGGTGACTGAAGCTAGGTTTAAATATTTTGGATGGCAAAGATATTAAGAGAAGGAGAACAGTTTAATTAACAGTGTTCAAATATTTAGCGATTCACTAACTGCTAAGCAAAAACATTGTATGGGGCGTGTACAGGACACATACACTACACAACATCTCACCCATATGAGTTAAACATTAAAAAAAAAAGCTGTAAACGATAAGGACGTATTCTCCTTCTGCTACAGAGATCCATCCTTGGCTGGAGCAATTTGTCGGGTCATGGGGATGGTTCTCTACAGATATCAAGAGGTTGCCGAGCTCCTTCCCAAATCCCATGTACTGCAGATTGACCCAGCAAAATGCTTGGCCCGGGGACACTGCACAATAAATAATGCGTCACAAATTTTCAGATTAGTAGTTACATAAAACTTTGGCACTTGGAAGAACATGGGACATTCATGGTAAGTTCTTATGTTATCTAGAGAATATATATATGTGTATGCATTTTAATACATACTTGTGATATATTCAAGATTATTGTATATACACTATAAAAACAAATTCAGTTTTTTTTTCCACAGTTGACAATTACTGTGAAAGAGTTTATACTGAAGATCATTGAAATACCTTTCCAAGACAATAAAAAATGTAAACTGTCATGCAAAGTTACTGTTGTACAATTTCAGTGATTTACATACGTTCAGTGCTGGAAAATGTAATAAAAGGGGGAAAATACCGTTGTAAGTCTTTCCAAGGCTGAAAACCTTTCATCCCAAGTAGCTGCTGATTTCTCAAATGCCTCGTGCCTCTTGATTAGTTTTTCCACTTCAGCTACGCTCTGGCCTATTTCACGACTTGACAGGTATGGCTCCTGTCCCAGCAACCAGGCCTCGGCGACACAGGCGTCCCGGGAAAACTGGTGCACCTCCAGAACTGGCAACAAATGAACAAGAATGAACTATTTGCACTATAAATGGAACTGGGAAAGTGACAACAGGAAAACAAAGGTTTGCTTTTTGGGCATGACAATGTGCCAACATATTAAAGTGTTGGCATCACACTCATAAGAGTATTGCCAGTGGGTCCCTAAAATATGAGAAGAAAGGCCACATAGCTTTCACTTCAAGTATTTATGGTGACCGATATAAAGTATATCAGGACTTTATAGAGATTTGGTTCTGCATTTGGGGCTTTTTTTACATTTCTAGAATACAGAACACACTCTGCCACTGTGGCTTTATTTTTACATAGTCGCAAGTAGGCAACAGTGAACAGAGTCGCAAAATCAGGTGAAAATTCACATTTTGTATTCACTTTATGAATAGAATCATATAAATGAATGAATCATGATTGTCTGGGGTGTGTGTCTGTGTGCGTGTTAGAGATTGTGTACACAGGATTAAAACACAATCTTACTCAGTCTCAGCCATTCCCATCGGTCTTCCCACTTGTCAATCATGTCTTTTCTCTTCTCGGTCAATTGTAATAATTTTTCTTTTATCTATGTGTAAAACAGAAGACACCAAAAGTAAGCTGAATGAACCAAAATGAATGTGTATGGTAAGAGAACATTGCAAGCTGCAGTCAGAATACCATTACATTAAGCAAAGCAATTGGTTAGCTTTAAAGCACAGTTCCCCAGAACTCAAGTCATTCTGGATTGAGAAAGCTGGTTGGATGACCAGTGAAACGTCTTCAAGAAAAATACAGCAAGTCCAGTTGCCTTGACTTATTTTTTACAGATAGCTCCCCAGAAGTTTATACTCCACTTTGCTTCCCTCTTCTGCTGCTCCGTTCAGATGTAGGGTACAAAGAAAATACCTGGTACTTCTGGGAAAGGAAGAGCATTTTACTCTCCTTGTGACAATGCTGGTGATTGGCCCAGTGTTGTTACATGTAGATGGGGAGGCAGTCAGCCATGTACAAGGGGCTAAATGGAATGGCAGGGGAGTGAAAATAAAGTAAATATATGTGTGGGGTGCGAAGGGAACCTATCACTTTGCCCAGCAAGGGCGAAGGAAAGATTCACTTTAAGAGAGGTAAACGCAATATATGAAGCAGACTGGGGTCGAGTTTTGGCATTATCAAGTAACTCTCTCTTTTGCCATCCTTAAAGTGTGCAATATTAAGATAACTAAAACCAGATGGCTCCATACTGCCTCATGAGTTTTAAAACATGAAAGAAAAAAACTGTTTAACATTAGCTCATATGGACAAACAAAAGACCTTAACTATTCTGCTCTTTTCTTTCTACTTTTAGAAAAAAGGGAGAATTGAAGACAGACACTACTAACAGAATGTGTTTTTCTAAGTGATGACAAGAGACAATGAAACAACTTCTTTGATCCTCACGAGAACATTGAGCAAAGACATGACTTGATATGTGGTAGTACTTTCTTCAGACACATTTAAAGACAGGGACGGCTGTGTTGCCAACAGTGCTGCTTGCTACATAGGAGAGTGGGGCTGATGTAACCCCCATCAATTACATGCAGAATGTAAGCTTTAAAATGAAGAACTGTGGGACTTCCAGAATATAACCTATAGTTCTCAGTGTTCACCCCCAAAATTGTTACTAGCCAGTAGGATGAAATCGCAGATGTTAGAGTTTGGTATAATAAGATTATTTCAGGGGTGGCCAAAAAAAACCAAAAAAAAACACATGGAAAAGCCAGATCACTGTTCCACAAGCATGCCTCCCACCTTAGTTCTGGCCCAAAAGCTCTACCCACAACACAATCAGAACATCTCCGATACATTCTTGTTGTGCTGATCCCACCTCCTTCTACAGCGGTCCACAAGGTGCATTTCCACACCAAATGTACACCCTATAGTCTGTTACCCAGGCAGTGAGCACGTAAAGCTCTAGGGTAGCCTTCTTCCCCCTATCTGCTGCAGCAGCTGGATGGATGGTATGATCAACCTGGCAGAGTGTCCATTAACAAAAAACACTTTCCTTTGTTGGACACATGGCCAGTATTTAGTCCAAGGCATATCACCCTCACAAACTAGGTACCTGTGCCTATTCTTCTTGTTGGTATTCAGAATTGAGGATAAATGAGCAAATAAGAAACATTCCTATTACTTCTTAGAAGCCGAGCCCTTATTCTTCCTTTTATATAATGCTACAAAATGCTGAGACAGATTTGCACATAAAGGCTAAACTTAAAAGTCTTTACTAATATAGTGGACCATAAAATGTAAGCATTTTATTTTTCAGAGAGAGTTAATGATTTCCGTAATCTAGAGATACAGCAGTCATAAACACAGTGGGAGCAGGAATACAGTGCAATAGGCAGTAAATGCTGTAGAAGTTCTACTACAGTAGAAATACTAAGCATAAGAAAGACACCAGCCAACCCTCGTTCTGATGATGGTGTTTGTCTTTGCAGCAGCCAAGCACATGCAGATCTGCAATGCAGCTGAGCTATAAATTATCTGGGCGGATTACCTCTTCTGTTGCATAGTGCTGCCTCGCCAGCAGAGACTTGCCAAGCTCAATGCATGTAGTAAAGCTGTCATTCCGGGCATCAATTTCTGCTTTAATGCCCTGGTGATTATTCATTAGCAGTTCTACTGAAGAAACATCCCTGCAACGACAAACAGCACAATGAATCATACAGCTCTACAAAATGTAGGAAAGTTAGAATCCGGTGTACTGTGGGGTAGTAATAGCCAGTAATCTGGAAATAAAACCTGGTTTGTGCAGACAGCTACATATATGTGTGTGCATATTTTCCAGAAGCTTATCAAAACTCAATATAATAGAGAGAAGCCGAGACTTTCTTCAAGGGAAAAGGCGTTTTTTCTTTTGTACGGTCAAACTGATATTTTGTATCTGTTTCCTTATGTAAATGTTCTTACAATCTTTGTTATACAGAGAAATGTTTTAGCTGCCCATCCTACATATGAATGCAAGAGCAAATAATCCAAGGTCAGCAGAGAAAGGACATACTTTACATACATATTTCAGAATACATTCTTTGTTCCTGCCATTTTACCTCGTGTACAAACTAAAAAACGTCAGCTCCTCAAATGAAACTCTACTAAAAGCATTCCAAAACAAAGATAGAAAGGTTTTAATATTGGATGCACTGATGGAAGTAGAAACACCTGCAAAGATTTTACAGATTTAGCTCAAGCTTTAAAAAAAACAAGTTAGGGTTGTCTGCTCAATGTTAATGTAGTGAAAAAACTAAATTCATTTTCAGTAGATGAAGGTATGGCTCTGGGGAAAAGGGGGGTTCATTCAATAACCAAATAAAAGAACAGTATTTTATTGTGAGGGACTGAACATTACAAAACCTTCACTGAATGACCATGGGTCAGTAACTATAGTATTACAATATTTCATTATTACATATGAGGGGTGCTTTGGTCTATGTGAACATACTTAAAGGGGGGTTAACGAATGTGACATTTCCTTATGTTTACTGTTAAAACGTTTTCTGGCCTATTGTGTGGATGCGGTTCATTTTAAGATAAGTGGATACCTAAGGGAAAAGGGTTCGGAAAGGAGTCATCAGTAAATGGTGATGAATTAATGCTTGCTGCAATTGTTCCTTGTCTATCAGCACTAGCCACTCCATTAGCATTATACAGTATATATTACTTTTATTATTTTAATATAAACTGTGCCATGAGAGAAGTGTTTAAGGTATATGTGAGCACAGTGAACAGTTCACAATAGATATATGTATGATGCCATTGCCATCCTCTAAACAACTGCAAGTCCCGGGGGTGCCAGCTTAACAGCTTGGGAAATGGAAGTTTCTAAAATAGACCGTGGCAACTTTCCTATATATTTAGTATGATACGTTCATTTTGAACATTTCCAGAACACCGATATACAAATGCTGATGTACACAACACGCTGCATTGCCCGGTTAGTCATCCCCTGGATTTGAACTAGGGATGCACCGATACTAGTATTCCCGGCTTCCGATAGGTTGGGAAGGCGGCTCGATGCTGAATGGCTGGGAAGGTGGCTTCCCAGACAAATCAACGAGTCTGCCAATCAGCATGGAGCAGGCTTCCCGGGCAATCAATGTAATGACACACAGCCTGGCTTCCTCATTGCCTGAGAAGCTGGCTCCATGCTAGCGAAAGTACCGGTATCAGTGGTCGGTATCGGCGAGTACCAAAACATAAATATTGGTACTCGTACTCGATACCAAAAAAACGGTATCAGTGCATCCCTAGTTTGAACCCTTATGTCACTATAACATTAAAAGTATATATGCTGCACTGTAAGGTAATACAGGTCTGCTGTACCTTGGCTTTTCTTGGGCTTCAATCTGTCGGATGACATCTTCCATCCAGAGCATGAGGTCACGGACCAAGCTGAAGAATCGGAATTTGTCTCCCGTGTCCACCAAACGGAGCCGCCTGCCTTCACAGGCATCCAACAATGCTTTCCAGGCCTCCAGGACCTCACTCTCCCTCTTCTGAATATCATCGGCCTTGTCTCCTGCATAAGCAGCCTGCAACCGTGTAGCATCCTCTTGAAGTTGCCTCACCTGTGAGTTAAGAAATACTCATTACAGGTACACAAATAAACTGGTTGTTCTTACAACAACATAGAAAACATTGAGCCTCATGTATGCATCTGATATAAGCTCCATATCTGTTTCTGGATTCAGCTCTGCATATGAAAATTAAAGAATCTGAAAGTCTGAATCTCATTAGGGGAAATATTGACAGCTGGTATGACACTGGCGAATGAGACTTTTTCCTCACCCTGAGCACACTCTCAATGGAGTGTACAACATACAAGATAGACAGAACATAAAGCAGGTCAGTGGCTTAACTACCATAGGTGCCAGGGGTTCTAAAGCACGTGAACCCTGGGGTTAAAATAAGCAATGATGTAACCTGAGCAACATTATACTGTTGTCCTTGTACATTCACAGGGTTATTGGTTACTCAGCCCTAATTACATTTCAACAGGTATTGAGACAAAGGAAAGTTTAGACCAATGCTCAATAAAATTTAGTGTGCAAAGGTAACACAAAAGTGTAGTAACTCAAAGCAAGATTTGCTGAGGTTAAATCAGTAAAATAAAAAATGAAATCAATTTTTACATATAGGTTATATCCAAAAAGGACCAAGAACTCACCGCTTCAATTCCACCTCTGACTGTCTGTCAAATGTATGCACTGGGTGCAGGCTACAGTGTGCTCCCACTTCTTTGGCAATTCTTGTACAATCAGCCGCACAGAAACCGTTGTCCATAAAAATCCAACTTTATTGTGGGAACATCCCAGATAAAATCCAAACTCAAACGTTATAGCAAATACATCAGCATGACATCTCTCCCACACCAACGCCTCTCCTTCTGGTGAAACGTGTGAGTGGCGTTGGTGTGGGAGAGATGTCATGATGATGTATTTGCTATAACACGTTTGGATTTTATCTGTGTTACCACAATAAAGTTGGATTTTTACGGACAACGGTTTCTGTGCGGCTGATTGTACAAGAATTTACATAAAGGTTACTGCACTTTGCATTTTATAAAAAGAACCTCTTGAATTCTGCTTTATAAAGCAATTTGAGTGATCCAACAGAAGCTGCAGGATGCCCAGATGAGAGCTCCTTCTCACCAACCTCTATGGTTTGTAGGTTGTGTATTGGAGGGCAAGCCTCCTACCTGAGGCATAGAAGGAAAGCAGACAGTAGAAGAGGGGAGGAAATCAACCTGTCAGCTCTGGAGGATAGACAGGCAGACAAAGATTAAAACAGTTTTTGACTAAGGGAGCGAAAAACTAAACCAAAAGACTAGTACTCGTGCAACAGGAGTTGTCAAGCTGGCCAAACACTGGCTGAATTTTGACCAAGTCTTACCGACTCAGACAGAATTCAACCAGTGTGTGGGGCTGTCGGGCACTCCCTCATTCAACAGAAGTCTTTAACTGACTTTTGTCAAAGGAGTCCGTCAGAAAAATCTTAGCCGAACAGTGACTGCAGTCAATCAGCCGCAGTCACTGCTTGGGTATTCTGACAGAGGCACAGCCACTGCTGTTAGAATACAACAGACCAGCGGGAATAGGAGCGATTCCCCCATCCATGCTGTTAATGTGAACAGAGAAATTGAGGTTTTTTTCCTATTTAGTCATGCATAGTGTATGACGAGCTTCAGTGTAAGACCTTATCTCCCATCACAGCAATTTAAAAAAAAAAAATGAAAGAAGGTGGGAACAGTCAGTGGTTTTATGGAGCAGATTACTTCTGCTTCTTAGGCCTGATTCACTTTGTTAAGAGCCAGCCCATACAGATCCGTGCAGTGTGCACGGCCGTATTGGGCCGATTCCGGGAAGGACAGATGCTGCGTGTGATTGCACGTAGCAGCCTGTTCTTCTCTATGGCAGTACGCGGCCGCACGCTCACCTGAACTGCACATCCATGTAGGTGTCTGTGCTTAGACGCAGACAGGATCCATCCTGTCTGCGTACGAGTACGGACACCTGCACGGATGTGCAGTTGAGGTGAGCGTACGGCGGCGTACTGCCATAGAGAAGAACAGGCTGCTACGTGCAATCACACGCAGCATCTGTCCTTCCCGGGAGCGTCCCAATACGGCCGTGCATGCCGCACGGATTTGTACGGGCCGGCTCTTAACAGTGTGAATGAGGCCTTAGTAGCTTGCTTCCTAGGGGTGGGGCCTGCACCACAATATTTTCTGTGTTCCCCTACATACGGCTAGCCTAACTTATAGCAGTATGTACGATCCATGTCAAACATTTTTAGCTTGAGGCACGGAGAGGTGAGACCATATCCAAAAACCTTCATGCAGCTTACCTGCGTGCCCAGTGCTTGAATGTCATGTTCGAATGTGGTGTGCATTCTTTGTAGTGTTTCAACTGTGTTCTGATCTCTTCCCAGCTCCTCTGGAAGCTTCTTCTGTTTATCCTGTATGCGCCCAAGGATCTCCTTCGCATCATGATAGAATTTGTGCAGTTCGTATGAGGCAGCCAGTATCTGCGTTCTGGTGTCAATCAGCTCCAGGAGGTCTGCCCAGGCCTCGTTCAGGCCATCCTTCCATTCTGCTATTGTAGCAGCATCGGAATGTCCAGAATTAATAAGGTCATCTGCCATGTGATTAACAGTGTCCACCCTCTCCTGTCCAATGTGCCCAGTATCACGTGCAAACTCTCTGAACCTCTCTTGCAACATCTGGAAAAAAAAAAGAAAATATGGGTTTGAGTCTTATCATTTCACCAATATTATTGCAATGATTTTGATCCTCTATGGTCAAAATGCACACAAATGCATACAGAGAAGATTGGTACATCAACAGAACAGACTGATACAGGTTACAAAAGATCCTTCACATGTGTGGCAAGCATAGACTTTTGTCTCTGTGGCAGCACCATTGCTCCAATACTCAGCCAGAAAGGACAGGGCAGACAGAAAGAACTGCCCTGTTTGGGAAGGTTTTCCCTAGGATATCATATTAGATCAAACGACCATCACAATATTGGACATTCTGAATAAGGTTAAGTGCAGTGACTTAAAGCAGCCAAATCACTTGTATGACTACACTACAATCTGACTGCTTGCTGCTTTTTGTGCTGCCTTATTAAATGTGTGGATATTTATTCACAATCTTATAAACTACAAAAATCTAATACATAACATAGAACGTATTTTAATTCAGCATAACTGTTCCCTGACAAATACGTTCAACATATGAAGATTAGGCTAACAGAAAATACAATAGGCAAAAGGATAAAACAGCATTATCTAGACACGTACTCAATTTGTTTTACAGTGGCAGACAACTAATACTGTGTGGTGTTGAGAATGAAGGGAATTGTAGCTCTAATATTCCTATCAGAGTGCAGAAAGTACAGTCTGATTGCAAGGAATGTGAACGTGATCCTTCTACCACAGAGGAGCACAAGAATGCCATGAAAAGGTATTCCGAAGGGCCATCATTATAATGCATTGCATTTTATCATCATGCCCCATACACTTTAATAGCACTATAATATGACAGAATCAACAATAAGGCCCAGGGATACCTTTCTCTGAGAGCAAAAACTAGAAACAGGACTTTAGAAATAGGTGGGGCATGAGGTCTGCCATGTAAAACTGGAATTATTCAGATGTCAGGTCTGGAGACTGGACATGTAATATGAAGATTTAATGCAAGTTAAAAGTTAGAAAGGGGTTAGGGTGTGAAAACATATCTGAGCAATATAAGAGTAAGGGTCACTTACTGTAACATGTTCATAGTCCTGTCCCAACTCATGAGAACCTGCTACCACCTCCCTCTCAGCAATCCATTGCTCCAGGTCGTCCACCTCCCGGTTCAGCTGGAACAGCCTTTGCCTTTCATCCAGTTTCCCTCTCCTCTCCTCCGACAAATCTTTCAGACCTGCATACAGTTTGTCCACTTGCGACTGACGCATGCTGATGCGTTCACTGTGCAATATACACAAAAGGGAATAGCACGTTACACTGAAAGTAGCAATAAAACCTAACTACTGCCAAGACATTATTTTATTTTTTATAAAGGTGAGCTTGTTGTCAGGTTTTTATTGCCATCTGTGCACCGATTGGGCAGAATTCCCCCCCCCACTAACTGTGGAAGTGATGGGAAATCTCTCCAGCGGAAACAGACAAAAACACATTTTCTGCAGCAATGGGAAGGGTTTTATTGCCGTCGGTGTCTTTCTTCCCTGGTGTCAACCACATACCTTCTTCTCTAGCCAAACCCTTAAAGGAAACCTGTGCCAGGAAAACTATGGAGGCCTTTATTCTCATCTTGCTTCTGAAAATACTAGTTGCCTGGCTTTTTTTGGTTTGGTACTCTGAGCCACTGACCTAAAGCAAGCATCTAGTACACAAAATCATGATGTCTGCATATTTCTTGTTGGTAAGCAAGTAAGAAACTTTTGCAAAGGTAGCCTAATTTAATACAGGTTCTCCTAAAAGAATAAAAAAGTTTTAAGAGCTGTACGCCACAATAATTATTCATATTTATCTTTTATATTGACAAATATAAAGCTAGCCATAGACTTGTATTGTTTTCTCATTCAGCCCATGTACAGCAAGGATGGAGGAACCTCCTGCGCCGGGCTTTTGAATCTGACAGCCAGCACCTGCAGCCGACTGTTCAGCTGACAATTTTCAGCCTGGCTCCTTCAGCATAAGTTGATGTGATGTGAATGTGCACTATGTAAAGTGCAGTGTAAATTGTCGGCACTATATAAATACCTGTAAAAAAATTATCAATTTGGTCCAGAATGGTACCACCCTCAGCTCAAATTCCAGCCAAGTCAGCAGGACCTGACCGAAATTCGAGCAGTGTGTGGCCAGCTGAAATTTCTCCACTTGTCACATTACCATTGCTATATGTATAGTTGTAATGGGACGATTGTATAATGCTTAACATACCTAGTTCTTCCACACCCAGCAACCTTACTTAGTACTACACTGTAAACTATGTCTAAGCCAAAGTACACAAGACAAGTCTGCATCATTTATACGATATTAAAAACCTTTCATAAGATAAAAGAATGCCTAAATGTTTCATTTCACAGAACATTCATTGTTTTATATACATTACACTGGATACTTAGTTAAACCTTTCCTTTCATAGAGCCTATTTCCTTTGATTAATCCCAGTGAGACTCAATACAGCTGCTTCTCCTCCCCCAGTAAAGTCTTACAGCATGGAATATGCGGATATACAATGTTAAACTTCTAAGGCCTGGTTCACTCCTGGGCGTTTTGTAGCACGTTCCTACGCTCTGCAAAACGCTCAAACACCGAAATCCCATTATTTCTTATGGGCATGGTTCACACCTGGGTGTATTACAGGCCGTATGAAGGCGCTACAAAACGCCCTACGTCCAAAGAAGTACAGGAGCTTCTTTGGGGCATATTTGCCGTGCGTATCCATTGGGATACAGCCAGGTAGCCCTCAGAAACGCGCGTTTGTCGCACGTTTTTTTTAACCGCGGATCACGGTAGAAACGCGCACATTCGATACGCCTAGGTGTGAACCCAGCCTAACAGGAACTGGCAGATGAAGTATTACATAAAAAATATTTTTGATTAATAATGTTAGGTTAATATATTTTCATCTCCTAAATGCTGTATAGATGAGCATCTGTAATTCAGAAATTCTGGTTTTCGTCTTGCTGTAACCAGGCAATTACAGACAATTCTTATTAGTTAAAATGCACCAGCTGATAAAGCCTTAGGCACTTTGATCATACTAGACAGCTATATCATTACATTCGCCTCCTATGAAATGCAGAGCCCAAAATCACCCTCCTCCCAACATTCTGTGTACAAAACACAAGATAAACTAAACTGACCTCTCAGGATGTCCATCTGCCACCAAGGATCTACTCGTCTTGGAAAGCTGATGTACAGCATCCGCATAGTCCTCCACTGCCTGCTCCAAAATCTGGTGCTTCTTCAGCATCGACACAGCACTCTGCTCATCCTGCAATACAACACCAGAGGTCAGCGGGAAAATGATACATGTAATGAAATCTCTGTTCTCCAGCAATCTGCCAGAACAGCACTGAAAATAAGATCATGAACACGATGAACACTTTTCTTTCACTCTACAGACCAATTGTCCATCATTTGGGTTCCGGGTATTCTAGTTTATGTAATCTGTAGCTTTGCGGGAACGTCAGCTGGGGCACCCTGGAAAGACAATCCCTTACCACCACACTTTGCATTTAGAAGATCAATAGTCTGTCTGTAAGCAGCTAGCTGGTCTTTGTATATTTAGAATCCTAAAATAAATTACCAGTCTTCCAGTTCTCCAATTCTAGCAGATTTACAATTAAAAGCTATTTTTTTTTTCATTCTCTGTTAAAGGGACACCTCATTTTACATGTCTGCTGTTCTAAAATCTTCAGGACTATATTTTACTACACCACTGAACATTCTCTTTCTAGTGCATGACTGTATTTTAGGCACAGTGCTCATCTTCCATGCTGAACAATTAATGAGATGAGATCAGACCAATCAAAAGTAATGGGTTGCTGACCAGACTGATAGACAAAGGAACCATAAAGTACAGTCACTTTGCAATGCAATGTTGACCATCTATTTTTTATCATGTACACAGAACTGTAAGTAAACACAGTCCCTTAAAAAACATCTTCACACAATTTAAATTGTGCAAAAATAACATTGTATGTGTTTTTCTCCAGTTGTTAGGAAATTTGTGTAGGTTTATTTGCATATGGACTTGAAACGTCAAACAAGTGTAATTCTCTACTCATGAACATACACCATACAGCAGAACAGAGAATATAAAAGGTCCTCACCCCAACTGCTTTTAATCCCCCCCCACCACCATGTAAACCGTACCAAGTCTATCACTCTGTCACTGTTTACAAAGCTTAGTGACAGAGTAGCCAGCCTGGGTAGTTGTAAGGTAAATGTTACAATTATTTTAATTTGCCCATAGACATTTAATTTAGTGCATATCCCATTTTATCTGGGACTTCCTGATTTCTCTGAGCGTTTTAGGCCCTTCCATACGTGCAATTGCCTATCTTCAGAAAATGCATCTTTTTGGCAGCCTAAAACATGGATAACTGGGTTTGTGCTTTCCGTTGTAGGACCAATGTTAGCTTTCCTCCCTGGCTACATGCACTTGAGCTAAAATCTGGGATCCAAGAGAAGTATTTTTATAACTTATCAATAAGACTGTAAAACTAATACTGAAGTCCAATGCCTGATATAACATCTATGGCAGTGGTTCTCAACTGGTGGGTCGTGACCCAAAAGTGGGTAGCGACCCCGTGTTCGGTGGGTCGCCGCTTGCCTTCCGCTTTTCTAGGCGAGAGTCTTCTCAGGCTCCACATAGCGCCGCACTGTCGGTTCTCGCGCCAAGCAGCCATTCATATGCTGCTCGGATCCGAGTGTCAGCTTAAGGTGGGGTGGCCTGGAGCTATGGCCGTGAGGGAGCTGCATCCATACGTGCATTGTTTACAGCTTCCTCGCATGTCCTGTAGAGGTGCCTGGACCAGAGTGACGTCACATTCGGGCTCCCGACATCTCTACAGGGCGCGCAAGGGAGCTGTACAAGCAATTCACATATGGATGGAGCTCCATCACAGCAGAGCAGCACACACTGGACCCCAGTCTGAGGATCCACTCCAGTTCTCGTAACGTAGGGAGACTGGGTAGATCGTGAAAAAAAGGGAGTGTATATATATGTGTGTGAGGTTGTGTCTGCAGTTGTGTGCATCTGTCATTGTTTTTGAGAGCCCGTTCACACTAGTACTGTGCGTTAATCGCACAGTCCCGTGCCATTAATGCACTGTACCATGAAATTGCACCTACTATGCGCTCTGGTGTGGGAGGTGCGTTGCCATTAATTTGAATGCCACCCCAAACGCACCTCCCGCCCACACTTCAATCGCCTGTACCGGAAGGAGCTTGGGTTGCAACTTAATGACCAAGGACAAATGTGGGTCCTGAGGTTACACAGGTTGAGAACCACTGATCTATGGGATTAAGAGAAAGGTTGTCCTTAAGTTTAGTTTGGTCACCTTGGCTTTCTCTTCAGACATCATGTAAAGTTCTTGCTCGCTCATCCAGGCCTCAGCCTCTGCAGCATCAAAGTAATACTGCTGAGCCCTGTGGGCTTCCTCCAGCCTCCGGTGCCTCTTCTCTGTCTCCTCAATGAGGAGGTTCCATAGCGCCTGGAGGTCTGACAGTCGTTGCTGGATCGCTTCAGCATTCAGGCTGCCATCTTCCAAAATCTTTTGGCTCCGCTCAAAGATCTCATCGCTGCGGTGCTGGTGGCCTTGGATTTCCTTCTGAAGAGTCTATTCAAAATACACATTAAAATGTTAAAGGCTTGCTGTTCAATGACAAAAGTTAACTAAACCACACATACAATTGCACCACCAGAAGCTACAGAAAGGTTCATTTAACATTTATTACTGTGTGCGGTTACTGCTATATATATTGGAGCCCATTTGACTACATCGGCTAACAGTGCCCCACTGATTATGGACTTAGCTATATAATCACCAAGGTTTCTATGAAATCCTAAAATGTGGAATATAACATGGGTGCAAAAATTTAAAAAAGGGCCTCAGTCATGAAGGGGTTAATAGAGACGTAATTCTGTCCAACATTTCTACCTTTGGTAGGAGCATGTACTGTATTCTGCTTTCAATCAGTGATTCTTAAACAACCTTATGACAGGCACAGACTAACAACTAATCAAGATGCAGCAGCTTTATTTCAGTAGTAAGTAGTACTTTAAAGAAAAAGTATCTAGAAGACTAACATTGTTTTTTCAAATGATTATGGTATTAATGTTTATAGCAAAACTGACCTGGCCTAAAAAGCATAAACCTTGGGTAACCAAGTACCTGTTAAGTTCTTCAAGAAAATATTTGGATTCCTTATTGGCTCCCAGTCCCATTCTGTACATGGAGCCCCCAATGTTCCTGCAAGATTAAGGCCCACACTCCCCTGGCATTAAAACTCACCCTCTGCCATGCAAGTGCCAAATGCCAGAGCATCAGTGGGCAGAGGTTTTGGCATTTGATAAATACATGACAATGAAGGATCTTGGAGTCAGGAGAAGAGGGGTGTTAAAGCACAACTTTTTCTCTTCTGAAATAAATCTTCTAATCTTAATGCTCACAAACCTCTGTAGAATGTGCACTGAACTGTGAAGCACAGACAGCATTTTTAGCATGCCTTAGGGCCAGAATAAAGTCACTTGCGCACGGGTGGGTGCTATATCATTCCTAACTAGCTAATTAAGATGGCCGAAAACACCAACCACAGAAGAAGACATCAGAGGAGATGCTGGTGCTGGCGAGAGGGCTTGCAGCCACTACATTGCAAAGTTTAGTTCTGCTTATATCTAGGTTTAAAAAAAGGCTTAGCCCCTATGTACAGTCTGGGCCTGATTCGAAGACTATACAGCTGTTACTTTTAGGGACTTTTTGACCAGGACAAGTTCAATTTAAAGCCTTCTCTAGTAATATGTGTCTTGTTTGTATGTCAGCAAGGTTAGGGAAATATAGATGGGAAAGTCTTAGCTGCCCTTAAGTTTAATATCACCAATGTTGGCCCCACACAATGAAGATTTACTGTCAATTTTGCAAAGTTTCAAAATTATATACTATTTATACAATATTTAAAAAGGAGAATTATGAGGTGAGTGAAAAACAAACACTCATTCCCATATTGAAAGCAAATCTGTGACCGCAGTGGTGCAGCTCTACGGTCTCAGCATATAGTGGGCAATAATATTTTGGGTCACCGGAGGACATTAGTATATGCCTTCCTCTGTCCCTGAAGAGAACTATGGCCAAAAAAGGTTGGCCCATAGCTCTCTTTTAATAAATGTATACGACTGATACATTTTCCTATTCTGAATGTGTGCTAGCCTTACCATATGTTTGCTGAATGGGAGGATCTCAGTGTTGTAAGGAGAGAAGCTGCGATATATGCATTCCTTTAGGTGTGTGTATAAGCACTAGTAAGTATCTAAACACAAATTAAACTTCTATTGCCAGGATGTCTGTATGTTGACTTTCAGCTCAGTGAAGACTTGTAGGAAAAGCAGTGAGCCAATGACACTAGAAGGAAATAGCATTTCTGGGGGAGCTTTGTACACATACAGTGTCAAGTCAAAGGCTTGACATTGTGTCTTCAATTGATTAAACACACAGCAATGGCAGCCAAAAAACATCAGTCAATTTCTGACCAATTATGATTGTCTGATTGCAGATCGCTGTTTAAAGTTAATGGAAACATTGGTTGGAAATACAGCTGCCTGTATAGGCTGTGTGAAAGCAAATCATCACTAGTTTACATTCTCACAATGGCCACATAAAATTTGTGGGGTCTAACTTTCTGGAGTCAGCGGTATTTGGAAAGCTAAAATCATCCTTCAAAAATAACCTAAAACTTTCAGAACTGAAATAAAATAAACACCGTCATACCAAAGGCCCAATCTGTGGGATTTTTTTTTTTTTACCTCATACCATTCGGAAAGAATGTGTGATGAATTACATATAGAATAACTCCCGAACAGTTTATTATACCATAGCTGAATATCTCATTTTTCTATATGCTACACAAATAGAATACAGCGGGTCGTTCCAAGAAATTACACACTTCTACAACAGTAAACAACCATGAGAACTTTCCCCTCCAATTACAGAATTCTGACACAAACTTCATTCATAAAAGGAAATATGCGTTAAACAAACATTCAGGACGGCAAAGAAAGTCAGTCCTTAGAGAAATGTTTCAAAGCCTCCCTTTCCGTAAGAAAAATAACAATGCAAACACAAAAGGCCTCAGAGACATCTCTCAGAAAGGAAATGTGGCTCCCGAAACCAGAGGATAAGGAAAATACCATCTCATATGTGCTTACTAGTGTTTACACATGGGTGTAACCGCTATTGGAGTGAGGAAGGAAATGATGCAAATCACATTCCACAGCATGAATGCTGCAAACACAGGAAATACAATTTCATGTGGCTAATGCTTTAACTCTTTATGAAAAGGCAAGGCGGTATCAGAACATGTTGGACCCATGAAAGCAAGATGCGAATAACTAAATTTCCAATTTTGTGGGAAAAAGTTTTTTTATGTGCGGTGGTAATTTATGATACAATTATGATTACAGTTTGTTCCTTTTTCTTCCTGACATAGCCCTAAGTCTGAGTTTCTCTGCAGCCTTCATTGGTACTACAGTGTAAATAATGGGGAATAATACGCCTCGCAAGGCTAGGTCAAGCTGAAGTCAAGGAGATTAACCAATCAACCCAAAACTGGTTTCTAAGCTTTAGGAGGATACACTTGGGTTTAAACAGTCCCAGTTTCCCACAAAAAAACACAGGCTCTAAAATCATATAGCCCTTATGACTCCGTCTATGTCAATCTACAACTGTGTCATAGTTAGGTTCACCTTCATACCAGGAGGGTCACCATGGTTTTCTGAGAAATACATTTTGGGTTGAATTTCCCTTTAAAATGGAATATGGTAAGGAAAATTCGATTTCAAAAAATGTATTTTACATTTACAAACTTACCTGATTTTTTTTGTATAGTAGCTGCACAGTCTGGAGGTTGTGTCCATGATCAGTTGATGTTGCAAGAGGCATTCTCTCTTCAACCCAGAGCTGCATTAAAGAACAAATAAAGGAAAGTCATTTGATCGATTAGAATGAGACTATATTTTAAATCCTATTTAAGTTTCCAGGCAGAATCAGCGTGAATGGAAACGCAGCTGACATATCACACAGAACACTAGATACTCGGTCACTTACAATCTCATCTTCCACATCCCGGTTGAACTGGTGAATTTCTTTAGAAGCCAACAGATATTTTTTCCTCTCAGTTAGTGGTGCCATTAGTTCCACGAACCTCTTCTCCACAACTATACGCTGACCGTCAACCTCATCTGGACTCTTTCCCTCCTGGCTCAGGGCCTGAGCCTGGCTCTGCAGTTCTTCCACCTCCTTCTTGCGCACATCCATTTGCTTTTCCAGCATCTATGAACAAAGAAACCATGATGTTTATGGACAAGGAGAGATGTCTTCAAATAAGTTTTTTTTAAATAAGTCAAGAAGAGAGAGTCCTCTTCTACACAAATAAATCTCTAAAGCTGGCCATACACTGTAATATCTTCTTTGTTCAATCTGCGGCCTGAACAAGGAGAATATTACAGAGTACCCCCATCAATGCTTACGAGCGTTGATCAAGGAATCTCCTGCTGTCTTCACTGTACTCCGATAGTGGCCATCGGCCTACAATCTCAAGTTTAGTCTACTAATTTGTAGTGAGATTGTAGCCTATCAAAGGAGTGAGCTTGGAGTGGTGGCTACAACACACACAGGGACCATGGGGAACAAAAGTAGCCATTCTCCAGAAGAAAGGACAGTATTTGCACGAATTCAGAGATGATTTGAAGATCTACAGCCGAGTGATACACAAATAAGATACATTTCCGTCAATAGTTAAGGAGTTGTGTTTCGACAGACCTCACTGTGCTAGATCGGAGATAAGTTGATGTAAGCAGACACATGTCTGTTTACATCTGATTTGCCATAGGCCAACATGGGTCTGGTAATTTATTTTTTTTCCTCCATCGCAAGACCCTTATATCCTGTATTAGGATGACTCCTTTCCCTTGCAGATTCCTACAAAGCCATTCTTGTGTGTGCTGGTGAGCTGTTTGTGCTCCCCAAAACACACAGATACAGAAAGGCAAGTCACTGCCACATTTTTGTTAATAGTTAAGGTACTTGAATGCATTTTTAAGATTTAACTCCTGAGTTTAGCGTCACTTTAAATAATTGATGAGCAAAATTACTGAATATGCCAAGTAGAGACTGGTTCTCATGAACTAAGCTATTGAACAAATTCAGGATAACCAACAGAATAAACCACAAAAGGGCCAGTATCAGGTCAGTTGTGGGTCAGTTTTGCTAAGTAGCTGCCTAAACAAAGACTTTTAAAATGTCTCTGAAATGTATTATTAAAATTTGCTGTGTGCGAAGTTTATAAAAATCTCATAATATAAAAAAAATCTGAAGACATTCTAAGATATTCTGAAGACCATTGAAAAAATCTGCAATGTGTTGTGGCACCACTAGAGGGTGCCGTGAGTAAGGTGTGATGCTTGGTGTATGTGGCCGTCATAATGGATCGAATGATTTTCACATAGGCTTTCAATGTCACATGGAGCCTTTGTCCCTGGAGGGGTCAGAAGCTTTTCTAGCCAGTGCTGGCAACACAAATCTGGCTCAAGTCTGAACTAAATATAATGCTAAGCTTGGGTAGAGAGTGAGAGATGGAAAGAAAAGAAAGGCACTGTGTGAATGCCTTATTTCCTCAGTACATAGGCCTTTCACTGGCTGACATTTGAAAGATCACATTCCGGGGCAAGCTGTCTGAGACTGCAGCACAATAAATGTGCAAACAGAAGCTGCTTAGAGTCTATAACAGGCAGGGGCTGTGTAGGAGGACAGCCTAGATTACACACTCCCGTTTGTCTCTGGCTATTTTTAATAGGTAATGAATTAAAGCTCCAAGTCGTTGAATTCCCTTTACTTATGAGTCACCGAAAAAGATTCTCAAAAATTTTTCAAGCTTTGTGTACTGTGCCAGTTACTCTCTTGTGATTAAAGGTTTTGTAAGTCGTTCCGTATTTTATGAACGCATAGACCCACAAAAATGAAAGCAGCAAATTTGGATTCCATACAGAGGGCAGTAGAGTCCACTTATGGTACTTCATTTATATGTGAGCTGCTATACAGCAATCTAAGTCTTCCACAGTACATGTACACCACACATGCCAAGAAAGTGGCAATTTTGTGGTTCTGTGAAGCCGCACACTCTTACCCCAATATAAGCAAGAGTAAGAGAATTATAGGCGTACATATGGGCCGGCACCAAAATACAGGACAATAATAGCCAAAGCCCACATTGGAGGGAAGCACTGAACAGGACTGAAGGCGCTAAAGGGCAAGGGGGCAAGACTTTTTTTTTTTTAAATCAGTATCTGGCAAGATTTCAGGGAGAAAAGAACATTAGCCTTTTATGAAATGCAAAGTCCACTTTTGTTTTTTTAATTTCTGGTATACAAAACCTGGGAGACCATAAAGATTTCTGGTCATACAGGGCTCATTTCACTAAGAGCTAAATACCTCATGAAATTTTGACGTATAAAATTCATTCAAATCTATGAGTTATTTACTGAATGAGATATTTCTTCAAAACGTGGTATTCATCTTAAATTTTAGGTTTTATTTTTTTTTCACTTTTCTTTTTAATATGGTAATTTCCAATATAAAAAAAAAAAAAAAAAAAGGCACACGGGTGCAGTCATTTGCACCCACAACATTAAGAACCAGCCAAGGCGTAAAACACACTTTTCTTTAGTCCCATTCCTGCCTTCAGGACGGCACTCTTCTCTGTAATCTATTTTAGATTAATTTATATTCCAGCAATGTGTTCTCAAATACTTCCATTGCCTCAAATTGGAGGTTTTGAACACTTTCACAATGCCACAGGCTGACAGACTGCAAATACAGACGGCCTCAGCCTGGTGATAATTACCTCAGACCCTATTTTTTCCCTTCTTATTTATCTCATGTTTCACGTGTTTTTTTTCCTTATTTATCACGTTTTTAAAGAATTTACTTTTTTTTATATCTAATTTTTACCAAACAAAAGTCACATGACCATGTTATCTCACAAGATTAGTGATTTGACCCCACAATGCCAAACATGGAAATAGTTAAAATATGGCCCTGCCAAGGCTCCAACTATTTTCTGGTCTTCCAGCACCTATGTCAGGAACTGTTTGGAATGATTGTTTATGATATCAGTGTATTCAACTGTCATAGGGAAACCTCTTCCACTTCCCAGGAACACCAAAATATCTTGCATGTACAACTCTTCCTAATAATTCTACGGACCTGTATTAGTACAAATTGTACCCAGAGCCCAATTTCCTGTAAAACTGGCCTTTGGAGTTTATAGAAAGAAAAGAAAAAAGGCGGTGGGCTGTTCAGAAATTTTCAGGCCAGACATCATACACCATTTCTAGCCGCTGCTGAAGGCCTGGTTCACACTGAGCGTTTTGTAGCGCCTTTGCTGCCCTAAAAAATATGCCCCCCAAAAATCCCATTCATTTTTTGCCCTGTTTACATCTGAGCGTTTTGTCGCAATAAGCAAAATGTCTGTTGCTGGAAAAGCACAGGAGCTTTTTTTTGTGCATATTACAGCTTGTTTTGGCCCCAGAGAGTCAAAGAGAAACGCTTGAAAATGCACGTTTGCTGTGCTTTTGCATGTTTGCTCATTAACATCAATGAGCAACAATCTGCTCACAAAAACGCATAACTTGATTTATGCGCATAAAACGCACGCACAAACAGGCTGAAAAACCATGCATCAAAAACGCATGTAGAGACACACAAACGCTGTCGCCTAGGTGTGAACCCAGCCTAATAGACTACCAACCAAGAACACATCTAGGGCGTAATAACAAGACCACTACTATACCCAGCACTAAGATTCTTGACATTCTGTTGAATGGAAAACTGTACTGGGAGAGATCTGTAGGTTGCTACTGCTGACCCCCTTCTCAAAATATTAGTTGCTTGCCTGTCATGAGTCAGTGACCCCAGAAGCCAGTGAAGTGAGTCTGAAGAACTTTGAATGTGCATAACTGCTCTGGTTCAGCGGCTAGAGCTATTGGACCAGCTATTGAATAAAAGCTATTGTACCAGCATGACAGGAGACACTAACAATAGCTGTGTTAAGCTGGCCATACCCTTCTATTGTTTTCCCTCATTCAGCCCCGTGGGATGAAAAGGAAGAAGTGCTGGATTCCTGCATCCATACTAAAAAACATGTATGGAGGAATCCTATTGCATTCTGACAGCAGTGGGGGTGCTAATGTCAGAATACCTGAACCTGATTGACTGCAGTCACTGTTTGGCTGAGAATTTTTAGACCGGCTCCTTCGGCAAAACTGAATTGATTGCACAAGTACAGTAACGAAAAATACACTATAGCACACCGCATCGTACAGGTGGGATGAAAACCAGTGCATTGGGATAAGAAATAAATGGGCCCCAAGTATTTCACGGAGGACGGGTGACCTTGAACTTTGAATACAGATTGGAAATAGCTGTAACTGAAGATGCACATAAAACGACACAAACACTTAATTGTTACGAAGAAGTCTTAGCCATAACCAAGTCTACTAATGGTCAACCACTAACCTGCTGCTTCTTCAGTAGAATGTTTACACTGGTGAGATCCTTGCCAAAGTCATCAGATTGGATCTGACTCTCCAGTCCATGAAGCCACTTGTCCAGATCTGCACAGCTCTGGGTGAACAGTTCAGCTTTGTTGGCATCAAAAAGTCTCTGGGCCTTTGTCTGTGTGGTGGTTTCCAGTTCTTCCCACATTTCTTGCAGGCCTGTCATCTTCTCCCTCACTATGGGCTCCGTTTCAGGCTTTTCTGCAATCAACTGGTTTCCTTCCTACAACACAGGAGAAGAATACTCAGAATTGGCCATTATACCTTTTAGTGGAAATCTGTTAGAGCCAAATACACAATTCCATGAAAGTTATAGTCTGGGGCAATGACAGATCTATATTTTTATAGTTTCTGTGGTTATTCTGTTACTGATTGCAAAAGTGGAGCACAAAATTATATACAAGAAACTCTATACCGGTGAAACATTTACAGTCTCCCTAGAGCAAGTGTAAGCAAACTTGGAATTGCAGCTGTTGTGAAACTACAAGTCCCAGAGGGCATAGCTTTGTGGTGAGTGCAGAGGTTGTCTACCCCTGCTTTAGATATTCTTAAAGGAGAACTATGAGGTGAGTGATTTCCACTCATCCTTATAGCTAGAGCCAACCTGCGACACAGAAGCTGTCACAGGTCGGCTCTATGGATCAGGAAATGAGCAGAAACATGCTGATCACTTCCTGATTGTCCCCCCGTAGTGAGCGGTGACCGTCAGTCACCACTCCCCGCCGGGATTCCCCCCCTCCAGCACTAAGTGGCAGATGGGGAGGGGGCGGGCACAGCTGCCTCTTGATAGGCAGAGCCAGCGGTCATTCACGCAGCTGGGTGGATCTCGACAGTATTGTCGGGATCCGTCCCGGCTGCGGCACCCTCAGAATATCGCTATATACTGAGCTTCTGGCTCACGGGAGGAGGTTAGTATATGTCCTCCCGTGACCTTAAAGAGAACTATGGGGAAAAACACTAGTTCTCCTTCAACTGTTGCCATCTTCAGCTCAGAGAGGCATCTCAAAGTGTGACCAGCTAAAATCATTGAGATTAGGTTACTTTAAACCTCATCTGTCAATAGTCAGTATGGTGCAACACTAATGTTCAAGGCAAGCAGATGACGATTCAGATATTAGGTTACCAGTACATATGATGTGCTATTATGAGAGGGTGTGTGTGCAACGGCTTCTATTATACCCCATATGATCCAGAAATACAGTGGAAGTGCTGATTGGTTAGATATGGCGGTAACCATTCACAGCAAGAGCAGGTACAGATGACACACCCAAACAGGTCATGAAACGAATTAGAGGATGACCCTGCAGTAGGATCCTGTTATTTGGATAAAAGTTACCAAACGATTTCGACAAAGAACATGTACTTTGTGGTGGCTGCAAGTATGTTTTTAACCTATAAACCTATTCCTCTGCACTTGGAGTCCTATATTCTGCATATGCACTATACAGAAGGCTATTCCTGGGTCAATGTCTCATTTAGTGGGAGGTTCTCACTAGACTGATGGACAGGACAGACTTAGTTCTAGGGTGGGCAAGGCTAAACTCAGTCAGGCAGAATACAATAACTCCTCAGGGTGGGTGGAAAATCATTGGGCTTCCCACACATTCAAAAATTTAAAGACTAATATATGGCCGAGGCAAGCACCACAGATGCAAGGCATGCACTTGGACAGTATGGTTTTGGTCACTGTTATCCACCTGGCAGATTCACTTTATGATTTATATGACGGTAGAGCACTACCTTAGAAGCCTAGCTCCCCAGAACAACTGAACTTATGTCAGAAAGCCCACTCAGTTCTCCTTACTCTAAATTAACCAATTTTCACATTATTCTTCAATATGCTCACATGTTCTGTGAGTTGGGCTTGCAGTTTATGATTTAATGCTGTGCAGCCACCTCTCTCTCAAATGTCGGGTACTTGCATCGATGGAACAAAGAAGCCCTGGTAGGCTGTCTTTTCCCTCTGCACCTCAAAGCTTCATTTTTAGTTTTCAATGGAGTGCAGCTATAGGAGTCTGTCTGCACATTATTCTGGCCTCGGCATCATACATGTGCCAACATACGTAATCCCTATCTAACTCAAGATTGAATCACTCCAGCTCCACTGACGTACTTTAATTAGAGCACATTACCTTCTCTATTTTGTCCAGCCATTCCTTGTTGGATGCAAGCTCTGCCATAAAAGCTTGGTGCTTCAGCCATTTACTGTGCAAGTTCCTGGCTTCATCATACGACATATCCCGAGCAGTGAGCATTTTCTCATTAATCCAGAGGGACAGCTGGAAGACGAGAAGAAAAAGCATTATTACTCATAAGATATATGCCAGGTTAAAACAAATCTACTGTCTGAAACATCTGGAGCATATTAAATCCATTAAAAAAATGAAAAGCATATGGAGCGTTTTATCTATGCTCTACGATGAGCCTAGAGTCCAGTTTTACACATTGCTTTATGAACAGCAATAACATCCCTATTTCTCTTACATGGGAACTGCTGATCACTAGCACAGCAATATCTAATAACATGACAAATGAAGAGGCACTACTAATCACAAAGTAATAGTGATATTAGAGAAGGGAGAGCTGGCTGGGGTAGGTCTGGTTCCCCAGACAGTCATAGCTGTGTTTGTGACGATGTCAGCTTAGGAACATCACTTTTATCTTCTACCAGAGCTCATTAATACATGCATGAGGCTCGTAGTCTCCATGCATCATTAATACAGATAATGAGGAATGACCAAGAAAGAAGGCATGCATAGTGACAGTTCACATCAAAGATGTGTGTATTCTTAAAGACCGGACGCTTAGCTGCTAAGCACACTGCAGTATACAGTCACTGAAGGCCAATAAAATGCTTATTTATGGTTTTAGGGCTAGGAAATTAAGTGAACCCGCGACCATTTTTTAATCTTCAAATCTATCAGACTTGAAAGAAGACACCTTCATGTGCCTGCATGCAAAATTTCAGGTGCCAGAAATCTGTGGCTTTCTGGTATAAAAGTCTCAACTAGCTCTCGAAGTTGAGCTTGGGCAACTCATTACGGACAACTCGCCACACCCAACTCCCACAACTCATTATTTTTCAATGAGACCACCCATCAGTCATAGACAAATACATCACATCATCATTGCTTAGTGTACAAGCAAGGGAAATTAATGCAACACCGCTTCAAAGAAACGCTTATGCATAAAAGCTGCACCACTCTTATATGCAAGAACTGTAAAATGTATAAATATTTAAATAAGTAAACATGTTGACACTTTCCACATGTCCCACTACAATACAAAAACCCACACCCTATAATAAAAACATTTAAAACCGGAGGAACCTGTGGCGTGGGTGTTTGTATTGAATTAGGAGATGTGGAAACTAATAATGTTTACTTATAATTTGAATAAAGATATACTGTATACGCATGCAATTCCTACATCTGATTGTGATACAGCTTTTGTTTATAGGGGTTTTTCCCTAGAGTGGTGTTATAAACGGAAAATTAGGCTAGTGGTGGGTGGGTTTCAGACTCTTGAAGATTGGCACTTTGATCTTGGGGCTCCCAGGACGCTCTACAAGGTTATATGGTCTTTCATAGAGGAGCCTATAGAAGTCTACATTTCTCATCTGATGACAGTTTAGAACATTTAAAGTCAACACAGGTTCACTTTACATTATCTTCTGATGTAAAAAGTACAGGGTGAGCTTAATAATGTAACCACTATACACCTTACTTCTGAAGTGATGCCAAGAATCACTTGGATGTGCACTAAGTGCTACTATCATCTAATCTATATGAATTATCTTATTTACAGGGCTCATTCCGTGATCTGAGCCCAAGTTACCTAATCAGCATTTTAAAAGCTGTCTGTGCCTAAGGATGTGACATACCTCTTGACAATCCTGTAGAAACTCCTGCATTTCCCTGTTGTCTTTCAGACGTGATACAAGATCTTTTGCTGTCTCCCGATTCTTCATATGCCTTAAAAATAAAATACTTTGATTAAAGGCCTTGCTTGAATTCTACCTTGGTGGGTTTAAGCAGATTTGGGGATATAAACATCAAAAAGAAATAATTCAAAAGCATAAAACATTTTTTCACAATGAAAATATAAAAGATGAAATATTAGAATGATAAAACTGGAACCAAAAACAGTTGTAAAACAGACTGAAACAACCTACAAATACATTTTACTTTTTAAATGTGTTCCGACAACAGCAATGGTTCTGTTCATCAACATCTTCAACAATGTAAAAGAAATCTGCATAGTGGTTAGCTGTCTGACCACTGGAGATAATACATAAAATGGCAGGGCTGCAGAGCATTTAGTATTATACTCTATGACTGCACATTGACAGAATCAGGAGAATCTACAGTACTTAATCGATTTATTGACCTGCTCAAAGCCCAAAACTAGATACAAATAACCGAAGGAGTTAAGATGCTCATTGTTTAGACCGGAAAGCTAAATAGCTGTAGGCAAACTGAATAAATGTCTGTATTTATAGGCTGTATATATGCTATAACGCAACAGTCATAGATACAAAGTTGGCCCCAGGACCATGATGGAATAATCTGCATTTCTCAATCCACCATCCTACAAGGAATAAGCCCCTGGTTTCTTTTGGATTTGTGACAGAAGTGGCATCACTAGTTTCCAATGCTGGACCAGGAAGTACAGGCAAACTGATGCAGCCAACATCATACAATTCACTAAAAAAAACCATTTATCCATACCTGCTGTCAATAGAATCAACTTTTTCTTCAATTTTATCAGAGTTGATGTTGCCATCTTTGACCAGTCTTCTGCCGGTATCTACAACTGCGTTAATCTTCTCTTCACTCGCATCCATTGTGGTCATGAAATCCTCTTGTTTCTTTATGGCGGCTTCAGCAGCTTCCAAGATATTGGGCATTTCAGTGTGTGCCAAGACATACTCCTATGTGCAAAAGGTTAAAAAAAGAACTGATCACAAGACATACAGGAGAGTTTGTTTGCATAATGTTGGCTTATTTCATTTTTTAAAGTGATTACAGCTTTGTGATAAAATGAAAAGTTACTAGTTACATGTTTTGCTACTCCCCCATATCTGGGTGATTTGATGCCAGGAACCATACAATTATCTATAGAAAGCATAACATCTGCTTATGAAACATGTGCTAAAAAAATTGTGAATATCACCAACTAGTTTTAACTTTGAAAATAATGCACATCCAAAAGGGATGTCGAAATGTGTGTTTGATATCACGCCTCACATACAGAACCCAAAAGCGTCCTTCTGTTTGAACAACAACTTAAAATTTAAATTGTCACTCACTCTTTGTTTTACCAATCTGTGCCACCCTTTCTATGCAATCTGTTGTGGAACCCTTGACACTTCCCAGAAATGTCAGAGTCTTCTTTAGCCTGTCAGCTCCTCCCGGTGTACTAATGTCACCAGAGTTACTATTCATCAGCAGAGAGTTTTGGTGATGTCAGTTTGGGGGGGGTGGGGCAAGTTGGTGGGAGAGCTGACAAGCTAAATAAGCCACTGACACTTCCAGGTAGTGTCTGTGGTTTCACAGCAGATTATTATATTACAAGAAAAAAAAAAAAGAAATCAAATGTAAAATTACAGTTGCCATCCGACTCCATTGGACAACACCTTTACTTTCTTTTCTACCAGTTTCATGTATTGCACCCGCTGTAACTGTTCACCAGCTTTAAAACCTGTGTCTACCGTAAATCTGCCTTTGCCCAGGATCAGTTAAAGTTTAGATATTTTTTGAAACGCTTAATAGAGGGCAACAATATATATCCTATTAACTCTTTCACTATTTCCTGGACACAGATGTTTACTTCCAACATATGATCTACAGGGTTCAGTGTACATATTCAGAAAATGTAGTAGCCCTGGGCTCATATCTTCAGAAATATCTGAGATGATCATTTCACACCTCCCTTTCATCAACATACCTGGTTATTAAGAAAAGCTTCTGCTTGCTTGGTGTCTCTTAGGAAGATCTGGTAAGCATGGGACTGGGATAAAAGATTTTGCCTGTTCTCCCACATTTTGTGAAGCTCATTCCAGCCAGTGTCAAGAGCCTGAAGACGCTGACGCAAGAACATGTACTGTGCATCTGTCTGTCCCTGTGTCACCATCTCCCCCATGTCTCTCATCTTCTGGTAATCCTCTTCATAGTTGTCGATTTCATTTTTAATGTTTTCGTGTTGCGTGAGCAGCTTCTCTGCCTCTGCTAACGTATTTGGCATGTCCTCGGAAGCAATCACTGTCTGTGTCCTTGATAACCAGGACTGGAAATCATCTAAGTCACGGAGGAACTTTTGGAGTTTGCTAGCTTCACCAAGAGACTCTTCTCTGTTCTTCAGGGTGGTCTTCATTTCTTCCCATACGTCATTAATTTCTGCAAGCCTGCTCATGATAGCCTGAGCTTGGTCAGGATGCTCAGCTTCAAGTTTCTCGGCTTCTTTTTGCAGATCGGTCAGTTTGGCCTCAATAGCAGCCAAGTCACGTTCCATACCAGTTAACTTTCTCTGGAGTGCCATGACTCCAGCAAGGTCATTGCCCAGGTCCTGAGTTGACTCAATGACTTTGGTCTTTTCCCTAATCCAGGACTTGGTTTCATTGCACTCAAGATGGTAGTTCTGAATACTTAGTACTGAACTGAGGGCATCCTTTGTCTTGTCAACCAATTCTCTAAACTGGCCCCACCTAAGAGGAAAAAGAGCAACATTTATATTAGGTTGTGGTCTGAAGTCCATACCATTAGTTCCGTCCTTGTTCTACATCTCCTGGCACCAGTGGGACCTAGAGTTTTGCTGAAAATACATTTTTCTCTATTGTTAAAATTCTTTGAGCCTGAACTGAAAACAGAGCATATTACAACTGCTATTTTGGACTCTCTCTTGAATTAAACAGTTTTTACCTACTCTACCTACTTGTTACCTTCTACCCTTTTAACCATTGACAACCTGCTGACCTCCCATAATATGACACAAAATTCACAGATGGCATCTGCCACCCCATTTCCAGGCCTCTAAACACTATAAAGATTATCACTGTACTTCTTTTTTCCATGTAGTAAGACTGTAGAGTATTTTTTTATCAAATCCAGACACCACATCAACAGGTTCCTCCCGTTTTGCATATATCCGCTATAAAGAAGTAAAGCTGTGAAAGGGTTTGCTGTCACTTACATTGATGTTCTAATATGCTGAGTAACAGCCAAGCCTGTCATGTTGGACACTCCCACAAATGATCCTTTCTGTGTAGTTGTACTAGCAATACAACAGTATTGATGCATAAAGGACAGGTGTAGGCCTTAAATGAGATACCTCCAAAAGTCACTCAAGTGGTCATCAACGGTAGAACAAAGTATAGTGTCTGGAACCTTCCTCCCTGGCAGCATTCATTTACTAAGATAGAGGTGTGCTTTGAAGCTAGAGTTGAAGGTTGAACGTTCACTTTACTATCAATGAGAACTTTCATCAAAATACATGTTTTAGTGGAGGACTTTAAAGCTCACCTGATGTTCAATTTCTCTTGCTGTCCTTTGATTTCACTCTCGCTTGGATGTCCACTGTGAATCAGCTGACGGGCAATCTGGTTTACAACAGCCACTCTTGATGCCTGGTTGTTCATTTCTGGCTCTAGACTTTCAAATCTAGAAGAGAAGAAAAAGCGCTGTTGAAAATCAAATTCTTGTATACAGCATTCCAGAGTGCAGTCCAAGTGTCAATAATACCATGATTACCTGTGCTGAATAACCTCCAGGTCTTCCAGCTTCTCAGGGATTTGCAGATGGTTCAACCACTGCTCCTTCTCAACAATCCAAAGTTCACAAGCATCAACTTCACTAAACATTTTGTACAACGTGAGGGCATCTTGCAATGCCTGTTTGCGAAGTCGTGCCAGCTCAACCAGTTCCTTGTATCTTTCCTCCATTCCAGACAACCTGATCTGCACTTCATTAGATTCAAACTGTTCCTGGGGAAGGGCAGCAGCTTGCTCATGTAGAGCATCAATAGTGGTTCTGTAATTTGCTATTTCTTCAGCTACATCCTTGTGTTTCTTGACTAGAGATTGAGTGGAATATTCATCATGTCCTACATCATTACTGGACACTATCCTCAAGATGTCTAACATCCAAGCATCAATGTCATCGGCATCTGCCTGGAACTGGTGGAAGCTTGATGTTTCTTCCAGGCGTTTCTTGCGAATGGCAGACAGGTGTTCAAGGTTTGCCCATTGCTCCTGAATATCCTTGATGCGCTCCCTTATCTTCTCAGATCCAAAGTGCTCTTCTGCAATCATCTCCTCACCTTCCTTGATGGTCTGCAGTAAGTGACCACTTCTCCCACTCATTTCATCTTCAAAGGCTTTGTGTTTGCTCAGAAGACGAACAACGCTGGTCAAATCCTTCCCATAGTCATCGGAAGAAAGAATCTGCTCCTTTTCTCTAATCCATCCTTCCTCTTCTGCCATCTCCCAGAAAAACTTCCAAAGCCGCCTAGACTCTTCCAAACGTGCACGTCTTTCAGCTGCCAGTTGGCACAGTTCTTGATAGCAGAATTCCATATGGGATATGCGGTCCCGTATAATCTGTGGATCACACGGCTTGTAACCTATGGGAAGGGCAGAGAAATATTAAGATTTACAAAAACTGGTTTCTGCTTGAATGACTGTAAAATAGACTTCCCACCCTCTTTTTACATCCAATAAACAGAAGGTAATTGTCATTACTTCCTTTACTAATTCTAAAAGATGTTTTTTTTTTCTTATTTTAGGATAGTGGACAGTCCTTCACATTCCAGTAGCGATCCATCTGTGCATCCACAACCACTAGTTTATGGAAAAGATACATTTCCTAACTATAGAACCAGGCATCCAACTTCCATACAGCTGTTTTTAGGCTTGGTAGTGCTCAGTAGTTCCGAATATGGACACAAGAATTCAATGATGTAGCACTTCAAAAGTATTGAGACAGCATAACCAGGTTATAGTGGGGATGCAAAAAGAGACAATGAGAAATATAGAATTGTCTCCATGAAAAGAATTTACAGTTTACCACTTCCATCAAAAATGTGAAAAAAGGGGGAATATTCCTCATCCAAGGACAGTGGTTGGAGATATACGCATATGAACTCTGCATGATGGAAATAGTTTTATACAGTTTAAAAATTATAACTATGGACTTTATGCTGAATCTGTGTTATAAACACATTTTAAAAACTTGCTTTTGTATCTGTGAAGTGGTAAAAAGTGAATACCTCCTGTACTTCACAGAATTTAAGTGCAGGTCTTTAGATCTGTCTGACCCTCTAACCATAAGCTTTAAAACCTAGTAAGGCCCTGTATCGGGGAGTTTGGACTTAAGGTAACTGCATCAATTTGACGTCAATCTAAAATCATTCAAAATTAAGGTACGTTTGACCTGCAGTTGACCTCCTTCTGATCTGCTATAAGTGGATTTTGCATTCCTGTAGGCTTATATGGCACTAAGAAGACACGTTTGATGCAAATAAAAGCCGTTATGATGTTCTGTAATGAGAGATCACAGTCAACTAGTCTACTCACTCCCAAAGTTGCTAAAAGTTTAACTCTGACTGGCTGAAGAAGGTTACAGTACACCACTAAGCTTTGTACAAACACAATGAGTCCTTAGTAATGGATTGCAGATTTGGTGTGTGTTTATATAATCAAAAAGCACAGCATACATCCAGCATCACAAAAAACCTTGATGCTTTTTCCACCCCTAGTGCTTACTCAAAAGGTCTAAACCTACAGGTCTACTTTACACCGCTACTTTTAACAATATTTGTTAACTATCTGCTAACATAAGGCTGTAATGAAAAGAAAGAAATATTTTCTTACCTTCCCCTCCAACAGCAAATTTCTGAGCTGATGCATTAACAGCACGTACTCTATCTGCCTGAATGGCAATGTCAGACTCCACCAGAGCATGCGTCTGTAACAAGTCCTCCACTCCTAGCAAATGTTTCCCATAATCCTGAGACAACAGAAGCACCTGCAAAAAATAGATAAATGATAAATACATATCCTGAGCAGATTCAAACATCTTGAAGTGGACGAGTGGGTGCCTAGGCCTTATTCTCATTCATAGTAACCTATCTGTAGAGAGATCAAAAGGTACTACTGCCTCTGACTGCTAGTTTCAGGAGGTTTGGAGTGAGAGTTGGTGGTGTTATTACTGTGCTGCTCAATGTTCTCCTTGCTGGAAACCCTGACATGAGGCGGCAAAGCCTTGCCTCTAACAAAATGTCAGCTTTCACACAGACACAGTGCAGAACAAAGAATGGAAAGTCAGTTGTAGGGGAAACATCAGCTGCAGGGAGACCACCAGCAACACTGGGGACCAGTGTTTTTCCCTCTTGCATGCATTTTTGTTGGGCACAGCTACAAGAGTTTAGTTCCTCTTTAAAAGATGTATACACTATATGCCCTTCAAACCAGCTTTATTTTCATCCTTCCAATGATCATAATGCTTTAAATGGAACCCTCAGCGCTACGATCCCTGTGATACTAATGGGTTACCACAGTGAACAGATCAGGTTTTTCAAAGCATATGAAAAACATCTTGATAATAAAAAGATCCTAGTGGACATAAATGTGGAATATAACATGGGTGCAAAAAATGAAAAAAAGGCCTCAGTCATGAAGGGGTTAATGTGTTATACTAAAAAGGAAATTCTCCTCTGCCGTGATCAATGCCCTGGAGACACGTGTACCTTCATTTCGTCCATCCAGTCCATAATGTAAAGCATCTCTTGGAAAACCTTCTGCAGGCCAAGGTTCATTTCTAGGCGCAGTCGTCGTGCCCGAAGCAGCTCTAGAAGGTATTCCCAGAGACGGATGACATTGTCCTTTCGAGCAGTGATTCGCTTTATGTCATGGTAGTTTTCAGTTTCCAGTTCTCGTGCCACTGCCACCACAGCCTGGACACGTTCTTCATAGGCTGCAATGTCTGTTTCAATGGCTTCATGTTTCTTTGTGGCGGCTTCCACAGCAGGAAGGTCAAACCCAAAGTTATCCTGTAATATAAAGAGAAAGAATACAGCATTGGCATTCTGCCATACACAAATTAACAGCTGAGAAGAGTGCATAATGGACCACAGCCATGAAATGAAGACACAAAACATGACACAGTTAAAAAGGTAAGTACTTCCCTAAAAGATATATTTTTTTAAAGATGTCAGTGAGTGAATTGAATATTTTCTAATGTATAAGGTTCTCCACTGATGGATAATCTGTGCTTGGGCTCCAAGGACTGCATATCTGCTATTACAATTACAAGAGGGCTTAACATTCAATGCGGGATTTTTTGTTTTTATTAACGCAACCACAGACGTAAAAAAAAACCTCTGCATTCCCCTGCTGTGCCAGGAGCACCAAGGCATCAAGAGTGAAAGAACAGAAATACCAACTATGGCAGTGAGAACTTGCTGCCACAGCCTCTAAGCCACCAGGAAACAATGTCCACCAGAGGTCACCTATAACTGTAGTAGATAACTGAAGTCAGTTGGACTTTACTAGTCCACATCAGCTGCTAAACTGGGCATTTAACAATACTTTGGTGACATTTTCAGGACAGTATTTAGGTTTACCATATCTGACAAAAACTGTGAGAAGTAATATTCTGCAACACGCACACGTTATTGGGGCAGCACTGCAACTGATGGACAATGTAGTCACCTTCACCCTAGACTGAAATGGGCAAAAGTGCAATACAATCAGATGCATTTGGCTATCAAGCAGGAGTGATAGCAATGTCCAATACCTTAAAATTTAAACTCCAGGGAAACTGCTGAATCCAGTTTAACACACATGGATTTTTTTATTTTGTTCAGTCATTTCTGTGAATGATGCATCTCACTGCACAGCCAGGCAGATGTATCCAATTCAACTTCTCAACCATCAGCATGCCAATTTGACAGTACATTGACCCCCTCACTTCTGTTCAATGAGCAGGGAGCTGACTCAGGATGCAGTTATGCTAAACCAGGAAACAGCAAAGTCATCTGGATGACTGGACCAAAATACAAATCCATGGAGATAAAACAAACATGTGCATTTAGTTGTTTGCTTAGAGTTCAAGTGAACTTGGTATGCTTGCACAGAAATACAGATGTAACACTTGGCCTATCGGTGGATACTAAATCTTATACCTCTGAGGACTCCAGCAGTCCGATGTCAAAAGCAGAGTTCTCAGCTCTGTATATCAGCTTTCACCTGCCTGATCCTCAAAAGGTGTTAATTGCAATTCAGCTCTAATACAAGAATTTGTGACTCTCAATGAGAATTATGGGGTATCATTGAGAGTAGGGTTCTCTTTCTATTAATTCATTCAAAATATGAATGCTGCATAAAGCAAACAGAAGGAGTATGAACAATTGTTCTTTGGTTGGAAAAAAATGGCTAAAAGAAGATGGAAATTATAAGGTGAGTCATAAGCGCTCCGAGTCAAAGTCCAGCTCTGATTCCATAGAATAAGGAAAACCTTTGCTCCCTGCAATATACTTCCTGTACTTAACAGCAGACACGATTCAGGGTAAGCATCAGCAGTGACAGTGGCATTGTATGACACCTTTAGCTCATACCTGAGACACCAGACGCTGGTTTTCACTCAGCCAGGTCTCTCTCATAGCTGCCTTTCGATCAAACCTGCGTGCAAGTTGTTCCAGTTTCTCCTGTCGGATCAGCTCATTTCGCAGTGCCAGTTCTCTCTCATGTTCTGCTTTTTCCAGTCTTTCCCAGGCCTGAGCAGAGAAAAGGAAAAATTATATTTTCATTTGGAGATTAGGAAACTTATCCAGAGCAAATTAAGTCACTGGCAACATTAGTGTAACCGGTGCGAAGTGCCAGTTATTACATAATAGGCTATTTCTTTTACAATGCAGAAGGCACTATTACAAACAATACGGTATTATTTCTGCTACTCAACATCAGCATAAAATGTATTCAATTATTTCTCCAGATACAAGACTTATAATAACTAGTTGATGACCTTATTAGCCTAGCACTAAGAAGAACCAAATACAGCTGCATCCCCAGAAATTAACAGACCATGTAGAGTCTTACAAGCTAATGAGTCAACCATTCACGCCCAGGACTGACATTTACCCAAAGCTACCAACCACATATTCCTCAATAGGAAAGTTGCATATATTGGAGATCCTTTCTAGAAAGCATTACTTGAAAGTCTCTATCTGTATAACGTTGCTTATACATGTAATGAAATAATAACAGAATCATTCAATGCCTGGACCGATTACTGGAGTACACATTGCTTGAAAATACCTTTTTACTGGCACTCTAAAGGTTTTAATCAATTTCTACAGAAATGTCAATTGAATGGGTACTTAAAATGTGAAGATCAGAATCATTGATCAGAGATGGCTGTGTTGGTTTTGTGTGAACATTCTTTCAACTGAACTTGCTAACTTTCACAATTGAACATAATAGAATTCATGACTGAAATCACCGATAATTAATTTGACACATCAATGGATGCAGTTCAGGGTAGGATAGTTTTGATCAGTACAGGCAGTGCAATATTTAAACTGAAACTGTCACATGAATAGGCAAATTTAATTAAGAACAGCACTAAAAGCATGTACCAAAGAACGCTTGCTTGTACTTTTACATCACCTTAAAGCCTTCGTGTTGGAGAACCCCTGGACCTCATGTACACACTAGATGTAAACCTTCATTTTAGCCTCTAGTCAGAGCTCTGCCAATTGCTACAATGGCCACAACATAGGCAACCACATTTTACTGAGGCAAAGTGGGCAAAATGGCACAGCTAAGAGTCAGGGAATAAAGTTAAAAAATGTCAAAAGCATTAACCTGTTATTAAAACAGCCCTTTGGCACATTAACTAAAACTTCACTGTGTATCCGAGTCCCCACCACTGATCCCATTTGACTTCTTGGGCAGTATGAATTGCAGATCCCTTTGCTGGATGTTGTGGTTCCTTCTGTTCACCCCTAGTCACTGCATGACACAATAGTAACATAGGGGTTGGAGGGATAAACCACAGTAGCCAGCTGCTCTACACACCCAGAGTTATACAATAGCATCCATGCTGGGAGCACCACTACATATTAACCCCCTGACAGTGCTGCTTTAAGGATATCAATTGTAAGCTACACTCCCCTTGAATCCATGCTTCCAGCAGGTTGGTTCTTAAAGTTAAAGTTGTCAAACTTCAAATTTCACCAACTTTAGTAGTGCCTAAGACAACATTCTCTTCCGAATAAACTCCTCGACACAGATACACTCTTGTATGGTGCACTAAGGTCCAATCTGGAAACACAATGTTCACTGCAGTTCTAATATGGCAGTAAACTAAGGTCGTATGGTAACAGACCTGTTATTCATACAAGATTGAGGCAGTAGCAGTGTAACACAACACAAATTATGATTCTATTATTTTTAGTGACATCACTGAGGAAAAGTACATTGCAATAACTTGGGTGAAATATAAAACGACTTACCTTATTAATATCTGAGATGAGCTTGCCCTCTCTTGGCATGTACACCTTCTGGTTGTTGGCCCGCATCTTACTCTGAATGGTAAAGAGCAACACTTCCAAGTTTCCCTTTTCTGTAAATCTAGAGCCATACAAAGGAAGAACATAGTTACCTATGTAATATATACCAAGGAAAACACAGCTGCACATTTATGTAGTTGCAGGGGGCTGATTGATAAAACTGAAGCAAAGTATAGGGTAGCAATGGGCACTAAGCAGCCAGTCGTATTTCTTTTTTTATTCCAGTGATAGCTTGAGGGGTAAAAAAAACCAAAACCCATCACTAAGGGTCACTAATATCTGCTCTATATTTTATGTACTGCTCTATATTTTTTTTTTTGTACAAAGGATAATCCATTTTAAAAAACTAAGTATTTGGGTGTAATATCCTCTTGTTGGCAGTAACAAGGTGTTCTAGGACCATCTAACCCCAAAGGCAGCATGTTTATATCTTTAATCACAGGTGTGCTTGCAAGACAATTTCCTTTCTACATTGCAAAAATATACTACCCACAATTTTTCTGGATATTTACCACAGATGTGGTCATGAACTACATATTATAGAATATATTTTTTTTTTACGAATTCGATGACTAAGTACACATTTTAGTTCAGTGATACAGTGAAAACAGAAGCCCTGCAGTTATTTCCACCCTCCCTCCCTTCATCCACAGTCTTTATTGTCCTCTTACTTTGGTGGTTTTTCCACAGTGCGGTAGGTGTTGAAAGCTTGAAGCTGCTGCTGCACACCGATCAGTGAGTTGGCGAATTTCCGATTGTTCAGGATGATTATGGTTTGTTCAATCCACTCAAGGAGGTCAGAGGCCAGGGATTCATACTTCTCAATCATTTTCTCAGTTTCAATTGCATTTTCTAAAACCTACAAATACAAAGCCAACTTGAGACTTTCTAGTTTATATTGGGTATTGTCGGACATGTTAAAGAACAGCATCCTTCTGTTTTACCTTATACCTTAAAAAGTACAAGGGGCGGTTGAAGAGTTTTCATTTTAAAAATGCTTCCCAGTTAAAATAATGTAATTTTCACTAGCGAGGTCTTCACATTAATGGGGAACACATCTAGTCTGAAAGGCATAGCTCTCTGTTGTCACAGTGCTGCTTTATATTATAAGGCTGGTCATCAAGGAAATTATTTCTTTAAGATAAACCAGTAAGATGTTGTGCCTTAAGCTGGCCATACACCTTACAATTATCGTTCAATTTTTTTTGTCCCATCATTGAACGCCTGTTCAATTTCCGCTCGAATACCCCATCATGCGCAGACCAACGTAGTTTTCGATTACTGTTCGATAGCAATACTAACTGGCCGAATTTCGTCGATCGACAGAACGGATTTTCGTTTGTGCGTGTGCAATGTTCATGTTACGATTTTTGTTGTACCAAAATGCCACTAATCCATCGATTTTCGTCCGTTTTGATGAAGTTTTCTAGTCTGCCCGTTCATCGAAATTCGGCCAGTTGTACAGTAATTATGATCGTGCACTTCCCATCAACTAGCCGATTATCGTACGAAAACGCGAGTTCGTTTTTTGTACGATAATCGCAAGGTGTGTGGGCACCTTTATAGAAGACCAAAATGACATCTAATTCCAAGTGAATTGATAGGTTCAGTTGTGGCATGCCTCCATGCACTTTTAGTATTAAAGCTGGGATATTCTTAGTCAAATAAACTGAGCAAACAAGCACAGTCCAATCAGCCTTGGCTGCCTTTGTCCCATCTACAGCGTAAAACCATCATTCTGGCCAGTCTCCAGACAGATCAGTCTGAGTTCACATAGCACTTCTGCCATCAACAGGCAGAGTCATCCAACAATTCTTGAGGTTAGTAGCACTTTCTCCCAGGAAAGGCCATCATTTACAAAAAAAGGTTCACATGCTTGATATTAAAGTGACACTAAACACAGGAATGAAATCATAAAAATGCATTCAAGTCCCCTAACTATTAACAAAAATCTATCTTATTTGTGTATCACTTGGCTGTAGGACCTCAAATCATCTCTGAATTGGTGCCGACACTGTCCTTCCTTCTGAAGGGGGCTACTTTTGTTCCTTATGGTCCCTGTGTGTGTTGTAAAGTAGCCACCGCTCCAAGCTCACTCCCACGATAGACTACAATCTAAAATTTAGTTTACCATTTTGTACTTAGATTGTAGTCTATCACAGGAGCGAGCTAGCACACCGAAAAAGAAATGTACTCTTCACGTCTGGTACTCACTTGCATTTGTAAACAGTGCCTTGGCCCACCAAAGGGCCTCTGGGATTAGTGTCTTTGGGTGCAGTGTGAGAAACATTTCGCTCTATCAGACTCTGACTTTAGGCTCCATTCACACCTCATCATGTGCAATTGAGCACGTTTTTCGCACGTTCATACGCACGGACAAAAACACGCAACTTTCAATGGACGCGCGTTCGCTGCTACAACTACAATCAGAACGCGTGGAACCGCTCAGAAAAATCGTGCATGTACCTTTTCTCCCGTTGTGTTTTTGTTCTCTTGTATGAACGTGCAGGTGTGAATGTTTCACATTGGAATGCATTGAATTTTGTGTCTTGCGCGTTTCTGTGCGTATCTATACGCACAAAAACACAACAAAATGCTCAGTTGTGAACCAGGCCTTAAGAGGGTTCCTAAGCTGCATGCAATGTTCAAAGTACATTGAATGCTGAGCAAATTCTCACTGCGTATTGAATTCTTGATAGAAAGATCTATTGACTCTCTGGAAGTCACACACACTGAGCCATGGAACACTTTGCACAGGTGGCTTTGCAGGCTAAAAACAGTAAAGAGTTTCCTTTAAAGCAAAAGTCAAATAGTCCCATTCTAAAAAGGGTCAGTTCATCCAAAACGGATATTTCTGTTTGGGTAGCTGTAGTGTTTAATTCTTAAGGACTATGGAGATTCTGCACCAGTGTCCACTGTTTAAACACCTGCTGTGCCCAGAGAAGAGTCTCTTTACAAGAAACAGGATGACTGGCAACTCCCACTGTATATTAATGGGACAGAGGAAACAACTTAGGTACGTAGATCTAACCTGGGTCTACCTCAAGATATAGAAAGACAAGGATTTTTTTCAGCATATCAGCATCTCTCCACAGCTGAAATATTATTTTGGGATATTTGAAGTGTTTCTTTAAATGCATTTCTACTTGTTTTAGGAACCGAGTACACAATCACAAATGCCATCTTGGAAGCGGCCTAGCTCAGATTGTGAAGGTTTATATTGTTAATGTGCCCCACATACTTTTCCAATACGCTTTCCTTCCACGGCCAGTGCCTTCATCTTTGAGAAGTAATGATAGTATGTGACAACATAAGTAATGATGGACTTTTCATCAGGATGGTCCACACTGATATCTAAATAGAAAATAAAGGAAAGGGTAAAGTAAGAAATGTGATCAAATACCTGGCAGAAGTTAGTGTTTATGTACCCACAGGGCAATTGTGATGTTTAATGAGATCTGGATGGGCAGGGCCAGTCATTTGTAGCAGCCTTAAGGGAGTAGTATGGGGAGAGTAAAATAGTATTCCCCCACTAATTAAAGCCAGTGTAGGATATCAAAGTTGTCCCACATTGGCTCAAAGACAGATAGCTGACCGATCACTGATGTCCAGCTCTTGGTCTCTGCTTCCAGCAGAGAGCAGTCACTGCTCCCCGCATGGATTCGCCGCTCTCCTATCTGCTTCACCAGTACTGGCTGGAGCTACAGACAGGGAAGAGGGCAGGAGGAGCTAGGTCTGGCTCTCAGATGCACAGCAAAATGTCACAATATTGTCAGGATCATGCTCAATTGTGGTGCAGTTGTACCCTGCCAGCTGATAATGGGAATAAGCACATTAGTAAATGTACTCCTGTGACCCAAAAGAAATGTTCAGCTTACCACTCTTTCAAGACTGTGCTTGACAAACTTGTAAAAAAATCTTTCACATAAGCAAACAATCTCTTTCTATAAAGAATAATAACCTTATCTACCAAAAAGATTGTATGCAAAATACACATGCAAGAGTGCCAGACAATATCTAAATAGACTGCTATTTAATGTCTATAGAAAAACATTATAAAACGCTTTAGGCTCTACCAGAGAAGTGGGACCCTTCATGGAGTAAACTATGTTCTAAGTTTTTACGAGTACATTTTTCTTCTTTTATAGCTATACTCCAGGCAAACATTTAAATACACCAGAGTTGGTCCACACTTGGTCCCGCAATTCACAGTCAGTTGAAATATACCTAGAGACTTCGTACTACCTGTTTTTACCCCATTTTAGCACCTGTACCATATGCTGATTTGTGTCGTCAATCGCTGTTCAAGTTGCTTCTCCCTCTCCCTGAACTCTCCTGTACAGAAAATTTGTTTGACTTGCTACCAAGCCAAATTCAGGAGCTTACACTGCTTGAATGTAAACAATATATTTAACGATTCATTAATAGGAGCCGCATTATTATGTGTCTTTTATATCTGCCTTAAGTGCAGATTTAAATATTAACAAACCATTAACTAAATAGTTAAAGCTAAAAGGGGAAGGTAACAAAAAAACAAACAAAGAAAAGGATGGTGTCCCTTTCAACCTACTGCACCCACTGACCAATTGCCAGACCTGGGTGATATGTCTGAGCAGCAGAAGCACACCTAACCTTGTGTAAGATTCTGGGAGTTCTGGTAGTGGATCTAGGCAGTATGAGAGAGCAGGAAAAGTAAATACAGAGAGGGGAATTTACCAAAATAACCAATCAGCGTCTCTCTTCAGTTTGTTCAATTAGGATTTGAAAATGAGAGATGTTGAGTGGTTGCTGTGCGCAGCTGCTCCAGATTTTAATAAATTCTCCTCAGAGTTCAATGTGCAGGCTATAAAGTGAGCCGGTCACCTTGAATACTATAGACAAAGCACAGGCTCACCTTCAGGGTCAAGGAGTTTAGTGAGACCTAAGTGCTGCTCTGCAAGGTTGAAGGCATTTTGCAGATTGTAGTGTGCGTTTGACTTCTTCAGCTTATCAAAATCAATCAAGTCTGGCCTGTGGGAAGAACAAAACTTCAAGATTAAAGAACTTCAATAAGTACTGTTTGGATAAACGGTCCACAAGACATAACCCAAGTACAATTCCAGAAAAGCAGCCCATCATATGGATTAAATATTTCTAGCTATGAGGTCATTTGTATTTTAAAATACACTTTTGTGTGGCCAAGCTTCCTGCTCAGTATGTCCTGGATAGGCAGGTCTGAACCAGGAGCAAGAACAGATTTTCTCCCATGAACCAAACATCAGTAAACTCTCTTTCATGATGGTGGGTGGCACAGACTCAGCATGGCTTTCTTTGTCTCCCAATGAGCCTAAAGCAGGGCCCCTGGAAAGGCCTGTGGTCCTGTCCCATTTGGATACGCTTTAGCTTCTTGCATCATTTGACAGAAGAATGATAATTGCAGCTTACGAATAAAGCACAGTGCTGCATACGGTCCTAAAATGCTGCTGCCTACAGCATATGACCCACTAACATGCTAATCTCACAGCGATAACATTTCACACAAAAAACACATCTTTGAATTAAATAAAGATTAAAAAAAAAAATTGATGGCCATTCCACATAACCCCAACTCTAACTATTATATAATATGCTGTATAAAACTGCCACGGGCAAAATAGAATATTCCCACAATGGAAGAATGTAAACATTCACGACATCAGGCTCAATTATTTATTTAGAGACTGAACATCAGCCATTAATTTCAAGTCTGTTTTTCTTGGACCCTCAACAAGTGGTTTAAATTATAAAGATCATGGTGGCAAAATGACATAGCAGCACAGATAAATAACAGCAATGAATAGCATGCTTAATAGCGGGGATAAGGGATATTTCCTGACATAATGAATGTCTGTCTCCAAAGGTCTTTAACCCTGACAGAATCTCAACTGCCTAAAGATATATTGACTGGAGGAATTCATTATGGGGATTTCCTCTTTGGTCTGGTTCCAGGAGACAGAACCCCCAGCTTGTCACCATCAGGACCCTAACACGCCTGTAATCTGTGTACGATCACTTCTTGAAGGGCCACTGATTTAATAGACATCACATGTATTATCTCTAGGACGCCATGAATGGATGCACAAGAATTACATTGGCTGCCCAATGGCCAAAGAGAATGCCTGGGAACCTGGAAGTGTTGGCAGAGGTCGACAGAGTGGAGGACTAAAAATCGACCTGGCAGCACTGGAGAAGGACACACTTGTAGGATAAGTGTGCCCTAACGGGCAAGAAAGCTGTACAAACTTGAACATTACGGCACAAAGCCACCCTTCACATATTACTATGGGACAGGACTGATATGAATAGTTATCGCGTACATCATGATGCACCCAGTGACATCCTGGTAATAAATATAATACGGTAAGTTACATTTTTCCATCCAACGCCACTTGCTGGTGAAATTTAATACTGCATCATGACCATATAATATGATACATAGAAACCTCTATTTATATCTATCTATATTTGTTTCTTTAACTCTCACCTGTGTTTATGAATGAGTGCATTGAAGGCCATGCCATCCCTCCAGCTGGTTGTAAAGTTATGTATATTCACATTTGGATATCTGAAAATATATAATAAGCATGTATTACATGAGGTGTAAGAGTACAAATCTAACAGCTGTACAAAGTCATATTAAATTATCCTTGTATGCTATAGGCCTTTGGAAAACCAACTGATTAATATATATGAGAAAAACATAAGGACTGACATCGCTGACCTGTTAATCATAAAATGCTAGCTGTCTGGCTGTAAGGCTGATCTTTTCACTTTAATACTCACTGACCTAGAACAAGTAGGCAGATAAAAACGTCTAACCTTTGCCATTCAAATTTATATACTTGCTCCAGGTTGCTGGCAGTATTGAAGCTAGTGAGTTAGCTTAACAGCCAGAAAACTGGCATTTTAAGAGGTCAGAAATGGAAATCCCTCTATGGCAGGGTAATACATGCACCTTATTTGTTTAAATAACATTTTTTATTTGTAAAAATGTATTTGTAGAGCCAGTGCCGTGTCAAAAATATTTTTGACTGGTTACAGCCAGCAAAGTATAATTGGAGCAAAGCCCAAGTTTCCGCCTATAGCAACCAAAGTGGAAGTGTTAAATTCCTAAAGTTCTCTGAACAAAATAGGACTCAGAAGATGGGATGTAAAAACCAGAGCAAACAAAAAACTGGGACAAGAATGCAATCGCTACCCAATCCAGGTTGCTTTCAAATAAAAAACCCAAATGGTTGGGAATTTGCTCCACTTATGCTCCAGTTCTCCTACAACAGCACTGAGGAATCTGATTGTAACATTTTAAAAATGTCTGTTATGTTCTAACCAATCTGCCCTAACAAAGCTCATCCAATGTGAATAGACAAATGGATCACATAAGCATTATGTCAATGTTTACAATGAGCTTGCCTTATCTCATTGTTTTAGGGACATGTAGAGCACTTTTTTTAGCATTATAAACAGGTAAAAGTGTTAAGAATAAATGTAGCAACCATGAAATACATTTTTTTACAATGTATTATTGTTTTCCTCTGTATACTGTATGATGAGATTCTCTTTTTACCCTTTGGCCTGCTTAAAATAATAAAAAAAACAAAAACAAAAAGTAAGTCTGCATTTCTAACAAAGCAGAGTTAAATCTGAGACACATCCGAAAGGGCCAGTGTGTGTGAACTTTTGGGATCCGTTAGTGTCAGTTTGACATCAGTCTGGTTGCTTTTATTTGTATATACATTGTGAATGCATGGCAAGCACACTACACACCAGGACAAGAGGTGTGGACAAATCCATTTATCAGTGTTTTATTGATTGCGGTCTGTGATTGGAGATTTCCTCTCATTTGCTGCCCAAGTGACAACAGGAGAAAGCACCCTGCGAAAACCACAGATGGCAATAAAGCCTGGTCTATTCCTTCCCCTGCTTGGTCTATAACTTCTCATTTGGATTAGTCAAAATTCTGCAAATTTTCTGGCATACTGACATGATCTCGATTACTTTCCTGAAGAATTCGGTCATTTGGGTGCTCTGAGGTAATCCAGTTAGAGAAAGACATGTTTGCAGCCGACGCAATTGTTTTTGTGAAAACTCTAAGAAGATCTTTTGTAGTAATCTTTTAATCTGTACTCACCCAGCTGACTTCATCTGGCACCATAAAAGCAGAGCATCCTTTGCAGATTTCTTCTCCTTGTTGTCCTCGGTCTCCACACTAATATCTTGGATCTGCGATCAATAAAAAATCATTCCATCAGTGAAACGTCATACACGTCACATACTGAAACATTGTTCTCTTACTTGAGAAGATTCTAACTGTGCTAGTAAAGAACATCTACATAGTGACAGATGTATATTACAATTTGTTATTATTTGTACAACGAAGAATTCCAAAGAAAATAGATTTTTGCTTTCCTCTAATTGAGTGGAGGTTAAGATTCCCATTACTAGAACATGGCAAAGCAACAGTAAAGGCCTTCTCCAGGTGTAGGCCACCACTGTATCCCAGGTGTGAGGAGACTACAAATGCCTGTGACTGCCTCATGGGACCTGTAGTTCTAAAACAGCTGTAGTGCCGAGGTTGCCTACCCCTGGCCTACTCCTTCAAAAGGGTGAAATTCTTTAGACACAGTAGGGGACATTTCTCAAACAAAGCATGACACAATTAGTCACAAATCGGACTGCCTTTCCTTCAGAAAAGTCTCTGCAACAGGTTTACAGACCTGTGCATCTGTTTTTCGCTCTAAACAGACACATAATTAAGAAGTGGTCAGGTCAGGTTTTATTTTGTCGCAGTGCTACTTTAGTAATTTTAGACACTGCCAGTCATAAAATCATATTGTCACTAAGGGCCTGATGTATAATGTCCTCTGCACAGCATTACTAGCTAGATAGCACCAAGGAGCATAGGAACGTGTGAGGGGCATACAATGCTGTAGTACCATGAGCCCAAGCTGATGTGATGATGCATGTTCACAATAGCCTGGGCTCACAGGAGAGAGCTGAATGATGATGTCCACCACACAACCTTGAAGTGGGCATCGGCGAGTGGAAGAGGAGGATGCTGAGGCCAGAGCTGGAGATCGCTGAGGGAACAGAGTACCGTATATACTCGAGTATAAGCCGTCCCGAATATAAGCCGAGGTACCTAATTTTAGCCAAAAAAACTGGGAAAAAGTATTGACCCGAATATAAGCCGAGGTACCTAATTTTAGCCAAAAAAACTGGGAAAAAGTATTGACCCGAATATAAGCCGAGGTACCTAATTTTAGCCAAAAAAACTGGGAAAAAGTATTGACCCGAATATAAGCCGAGGTACCTAATTTTAGCCAAAAAAACTGGGAAAAAGTATTGACCCGAATATAAGCCGAGGTACCTAATTTTAGCCAAAAAAACTGGGAAAAAGTATTGACCCGAATATAAGCCGAGGTACCTAATTTTAGCCAAAAAAACTGGGAAAAAGTATTGACCCGAATATAAGCCGAGGTACCTAATTTTAGCCAAAAAAACTGGGAAAAAGTATTGACCCGAATATAAGCCGAGGTACCTAATTTTAGCCAAAAAAACTGGGAAAAAGTATTGACCCGAATATAAGCCGAGGTACCTAATTTTAGCCAAAAAAACTGGGAAAAAGTATTGACCCGAATATAAGCCGAGGGTGGGAAATGAGGCAGCTACTGGTAGATAGATACCAATAAAATTACATTAATATTTATTTAAAAGAAAAATAACCTAGCTCTGGAAGTGGAAAAGGGGGTGCAGGGCTACATATCATGTACTACGGATCATTTAACCCATTCATATTAGCAGAGGATAATTGTAAATCTATTGTTCAGTGCACTCTATATGTAGTATATAGTACATGTACATATAGAGTGCCTGCAACAATACATTTACAATGATACTAACATGAATGTATTAAATGATCCGTAGTACATGATATGTAGCCCTGCACCCCCTTTTCCACTTCCAGAGCTAGGTTATTTTTCTTTTAAATAAATATTAATGTAATTTTATTGGTATCTATCTACCAGTAGCTGCCTCATTTCCCACCCTCGGCTTATATTCGGGACGGCTTATACTCGAGTATATACGGTAGTTGGGGGTGGAGGTGTTATGATTATGTACAATGTCAACACACAGGAATAAATAAGAGCCTTGGAGATGATACAAAAGTATAACGTTTACCTGGAATCTGAGGATGATGGTCCAAATCAGACCTAGGGTCAGCCTGTGGTTTCCATCAACAATATCATGTGAGCCCATATTTTCTAGGTGAACCCTTTGCTCTTTGAGGAACTGCAGAGCCTTGTCAACATTCTCCAGACAATGGATACGCATTCTTCCCTTGGTGGGCTTGGGCTACGGAAACAGAAGATGTGTTTTACTATTAAAGCACAATGAAGTCGTTTGTAAAGAGCAGTGAACAAGATGTGCATCTGAGAGGAACATGGTTGAATCAGCTCTGTGTGAAGAGTGGAACAAATGGAAGGTAAGCATGTGTAACATCCCAGGCCTATAAGCCTACTTGGAAACCTTCCAGTTATGAATGGATTTTGAGGAGTAATTATCTCTAAGCGCAGACTAATACCACGGGATCAACAAACCCTATTCTCTGCAGCACTGCGTTCCATACTATTCATTTTGAAGAGTTTTTCTCAAATGAAACTGTGGCCTAGAATGACATTACCTAGGACTGTACTTGCTGTACCTTGCCCTAGAGTGAGTGACATCAGGGGTATAATGTGACCAGCTACATAAGACTGTACCCGGACACATAGTAGGCATCCATAAACCATCCCTGTGGATTTTAATAGCATCTCTAAACTGCCGATGCCCATCGTGTGAGCATACCTGAAAAATTTCCTAAACGATTGTGACAAAAATATTCAATGTAAAAATGGGTATAATGGTAGGAGCAGACTATGATATGCACGAGTCAGATTAAATATTTTTTTTATATAAATTTCTTTTAAACAGGCTTTCAAGTCGGCATATTAAATGGTTTGTTGAAGTTCTTAATAAGTGACCAGGTCAAAACAAACAGGCTGCATGTATGATCCATCCTAGAGCACCTCTCTGCTGCCTGTTACATAAATGCAGTGTTGTAAACCTGCTCCTTCTCCGAATCACTGCTAAAGATAAGGGTATCTGTAGGCATAAGATCTGACATGGGTCATTCAGATGACACATTGTTGTGGTATGGTGCACTACCTAAGCCTATTAGTTTCCATCGGGCTATGTGGACAACTGCAGCAGACTTGTTCTACGATGTTGAAGATGTTTTGTAGCCTATCCATGCCACTTCTTCAGTTCTGATAAGTGTCAGGAAAATATCCCAGCATAGATATTTTAAAAAGGAAAGGCATGACAACACACTGCAGCGTGCTAGGTACATTTGCATTTTAGCATAATGGTGTGAAAAGCCAAATTTCATAGTGAGGGGAAGGATAATAACCCATGTTGGATTTTTACTGTTATCCAGCCCTCAATTAAGACCTGTTCACACTTTTGACAAGCTTCTGAGAACATTCATTGCAAGTGCTGTTGATCTGCATTTGACCTGCTCCCGCTGCTTTTGCATTCCCATAGACATATATTGGAAGTGAAGGCGAACAAAAGCCCAGCGACGCAACCTTTTAGGGGAGATTTACCCTCACATTCTGTCCCCAGTGACAACAGCAAGTGGGTGAAAATCTCACTAAAAAGCTGCCAGGGGTTCTAGCATTCCACCACTCACCCACTATAAAAATGATGTACTGCAATGAGTAAAAAAAAAAGGGGTACCAATGAAATGTATAACTTCATTATACCTAGAACTGTTAATCTCCATAAAGTGCTTTTTATATTGTGCCTGTATGAAACAATGAGCTGTGGGCAGCTCTCAGAGCAGGACCACAAGGCGTTAATCTACTGTTTAACAAACATGTCTTAATATGATGAATAATGTATGTAATATGTAGACATTTAGCCAATGAGGCAACTCCCACTGATAACAGCGCTATCTTACACAATCACTGCACATGTTGCGTAGTGACCTTAGAACAACCTTCACAAATGACTGGGTGTAGTTACTGGAGGATACGGACCCGATCCCTGAACAGAACGGCTATAGTGACTGAGGGCTCTCTGCTGGAACAATTATGTGTAAAGCCTTACATTAGCTACAAATTCCTGGCCCATACTACCGTCTGCATGACTATGTCTTTTCCAAACCTTGGATTATCTTTTTTATTTTCAATGAAGCAAAAGAGTGTACTTTACTTTACATATAGTAAAAATGCCACAAACCAATTCATGCACCATAGAGGCATGTTGTTTGTTTAATCCTTCATGTGATTTTGAAAATCTTCCCTAAAACATATGTAGCATACATGGGAAAGGGGGAAGCTGTCTGTGTTAGACAACAGAGACAGTAATCGGGCCAATTATAACACTAACCTATTAGTTCACGTTAAAGCCCAAAGTGAAATCTCACAACCTGGTAATTGTCCTGTAACCCCACGTTATGATTTGTATATAGAAATTATTTACAATACCTATTTCTCTCAGTGAAAATGCTGCCTCTACCTTTCATACTTCAGTGGTTTGTGCTGACAGAGCTGAGTAACAAACACACCCCTTAGCATTAGTATCTTCACACAGAACTGTATTGAAGAGAAGGAAATGGAGCAGGTCGGACCAGGTTTGTGTAAACTTCTGAAAGCACAGTCTTTTCTGGTGCCATTCAGACTGTACAATCATATGTAGACTATGAAAATGGAGGTTGTTACTATAATGTCTATCAGACCACATATCTATTTTTTGTTGCGTCATTTAGGCTTTACCAAATGTTGTCAATACAGAAATGGTATCCACAACTATAACTACTTGAAGACAAAATGGGAATGACTTAACCCACGGACTTGTAATATACCCATCACTGCCCAAAAGGGAACTTAAAGTGACACTAAACCCAGGAGTTAAATCTTAAAGTGACATTAAACCCTCAGATTTTTTAACATAAAACAATACTGTAATGTGCGCCTTACTGTAATCCATGGTTGTTTCCCTTTGCTGCTCTTCCTTTGAAATCTGTATCTGTTCTCATGCTGGGGGAGAACTTCTGTTTTGCAGCAGACTGTCTTGTCTCTGGAATGGCTACATGGTGTCTGTGTATAGGTTTGCAACCTGAGCCAGCACTACAGGAAGAGGCAGTCAGCTGCAAAGGGAAGTTCTCCCCAAGCATGAGAAGACATGAGGATTTAAAAGGAAGAGCAGCAAAGAGAAGGGAAACAACCATGGATTACAGTAAGGCACACATTACAGTATTGGTTTATGTTGAATAATCTGAGGGTTTAATGTCACTTTAAGTAGCCACTGCTCCAAGTTCACTCCCATGATGGACTACAATCTCTATACAAATTAGTAAACTAAACATGAGATTGTAGTCCATCACAAGAGGGAGCTTGGAGTGGTGACTACTTTATAACACACACCGGGGCCATGGGGAACAAAAAGTAGCCACCCTCCAGAAGGAAGGACAGTGTGCGCACCAATTCAGAGATTATTTGTGTATCACTCAGCTGTAGATCCTCAAATCAAGTACCGTTTTGTCAATAGGTAAAGGTACTTGAAGGCATTTTTAAGATTTTACTCCTGTGTTTAGTGTCACTTTAGGTTACCGTTGGGCAATGATAGGTATATTACAAGTCCATGGGTTAAGAAACTCCCAATTTGTCTGCAAGTAGTTATAGTTGTGTATACCATTACTGTATTGGCAAAAGTTGGTAAAGCCTGAATGAAGCAACAGAAATAGATCTGTGGTCTGATGGACATTATAGTAACAACCTCCATTTTCATCAAATATGATTATAGTACCTGCAGATAACTTTAGTTGCTCTCCTCCGCTGCTAGGTTCTTCCCAACTTTAGTATGTTCCTACCATCCAGAAGGCTGCCAATCAGGAACTTTCAGGATGAGAATGGGTGTGGAGGGGCCTTAGATTTGGACTATATGGCAATATAGATCAACAGATTGGAATTCTGGGTTGCAAAAAACTGCAGCTAAAAGTAAACGCTGCCTGTTGCCTTAATTGCAGTGATGGAATCTGTTCAGGACCCTTACAGTACAGATGGGTGTATTTTAGTTCACTACCTTTTATGAATTCTAAAAGAAACCCCGTGGCATTCATCACCCATGAGAGTTTGTTACGTCTTCCTCTGGACCAAAACAGGAATTTGTGGGAGGCTGAACCTGATGTTGTTTTCAAACTAAGACAGCTTTGTATATATGGCTTGCATTAAAATGTAATATACGTAAATGTGATGCAAGCCCCTTTCTCTTAAGATGTATGATATTTGGAACAAATCTGCTCAATGTAACTATACTTATGTTTGTGAATGTTTTAAAAAACGTCTATGTAATAGTGTGCAATGAAATACATACATGACAGCCATGTTTTTTTCATTACATGTGTAGCCACTGCTTCCACTGCCACACAATGGTTGTGCCTTTTGTTCCTCTCTTGCAATGCAGGTCTACTAGTCAGCTGTGACTGAGCAAAAGCAATGCACTCTCTATGTCGCGTAATCAGCAGGGTAGCTACTTTACCACACTAAAATACAAATAGCCACTAGGAGGATCTTCAAATATGTGCATAAACAATCAGAGGAAACATTGTACAGCACATGTAAATGTATGGAATTTACTACATGGTAAATGTTACATGTAAATTAAGTTAAACATTGCTCACTAAAATACCTTCACCTTTAAGATAAAGGATTTTAAGCCTCAAAAGTTTGAGCAGCACTCGATATTGTTGTGTTACACTATATTTTGTTTAAACCCGTTAACCTGACTGTTCAATGCCTGAGCACAGCTGGAGGTGAGGGTGCAGATATTTTTGGCACTATGCAAATGAATACATAAGATGAGTTCAACAAAGCTGTGTCCGACAACAGGGTGAAAGCAAGAGCCGGAAATGCTGGTGACCACACTGCCACCGGCAGAGCACATCCATATGACATTCTTACAAGGTCTCCTTATGCAATTCGATGGTGAAACAGAGATACTTACAAGTCTCTCGCCAGAGAGAACTTCCAGCAGTTTGATAAGCATCCGCCCATCTCGCAGGTCTGCATACAGATCAGTAATTCTGCAGGACACTCGGGCCAGGTGGGAATTAACCCATTTTGTGAAAGTCTTCTTCTGGACAGCCTCCCGTTCATCTGTAAAGACAACGAATATGGTGGTCAATTGCAAACTGTTTCAGCTAATCAAGGCAGGTCATACAGCTTAAAATACTTCCAAGCTTGGAGCTACTCAGGCAATGTTTTGTATTTTAGCCATGTTATAAAAACCCTGATATTGTTAAAAAGGCAACTGATGGTTACAAGAAATGGCAGACACACAGAGGGTAATATATCAAAACTGGAGCAGACAAAATCTGGAGCAGCTGTGCATGGCGACCAATCAGTATCCTCCTTTCATTTTCAAATCTTAACTGAACAAACTGGAGAGAAGCTGATTGGTTGGCATGGGTAACTGCACCAGATTTTGTCTGCTCCAGTTTTGATAAATTCCCTGCATAGAATATAGTAGTGGTTAATCTTCTACAATCATACAATGCTCCAGTTTTGTGTTATTGCTACCACATGCTTCTTGTGTAACTTTCACCATAGGAAGCCATTTGTTTGATTTATTTAGCTTTCAGACACTACTCTTGGGCTGCATTAACACCTGAGCATAGGTAGTTTTAGTTGTGCATTTTTGTTTGTTTTTTCAGGCCTGAGCATTTTTGCTTTGGCCAAAGGAAAGCTAGGTTCCAGTAGAATGAGATAGTTAAGCCTTGAAAAACACTTATTTTCAGGAATTTTCATGCATTATTCAGTGCTTCCATTGATGTCTATTGGGCCAAATACTCCCCATTCTGCCTCAAAAGTAGCTCATGTACTTTGAGCATCAGGCATTGAGCTACAGGCATTTGAGATCTCATATGTGAACCAGCACAACAAAAGCATGGGATTTTTTTGAGCGGTTTAGAGCATTGAGCTTCAAGCTACAAAACGCTCGGGTGTGAATCAGGGCCCAGCAATTATTCAACAGATATTTTAGAGGTGTGATTCAACAACTATAAATCTGTGTTAGACAAATATGCCATTTTCTAAAGGATTCAGGTTTTTATAAGGTTTTTGACCAAAAAAAGGGCTCCCTTTGCCCATGCTAATTTATATCTTTCTTGCAGGTTCCTGGCCAGAAAGATTGTACCGTGAAAAATAAAAAAAATATATAAGTGATCACTTTGTACAGACATACATTTAAAAAAGACATGGTTTGTCTTCAATACTTTTTTTCTATTTCAGTAAAGAAATTAGTCATACATGCAGTGGTCACACATGGTTTGAGATTTTCAGGCAAATTTTATACATTTTTATTATATAGAGTGTTTCCAAGTACAAGCAACATTACCCACAACTTCAGCAACAGAGCACAGCACGAGAGAGGACAAAAGGCTACGAGAAGTCCCCAAAAAGCCTACAAGAAGCCTCAATTGCAAGAAAAGTACGATTTATAAAATGGTTATGGTAAACTGGGTGGACTTTTCGACTTTCACACTTGCTTATATCTCCTGGATGGCAGATCAGTGACCAGCATTATTTAATGTCTGAAGTTGCTTATAAATCCAGCTTTAAGGAATTATATTTTTGTCTGAAAGGCATGACCAGCTTCTGATAAGTTGCATTTTGCTCACAATATTTTCCCTCCTAGCCTTCATCATTGTGAGCTCTGTCTCTAATGATATACAACTCTTAAGGTATACGGCTCCTCATAAATAGCTTATCCCGTCTTTGCTTTAAATAATGTGTTTACATTAGAGGAAAGAAGTAATTTAAATGAAATATAACAGTAGTGTATTGTGATGACCTATGAAGAAAACAAAAGCTGAGGCAGAGGAAATTCCTTCACTTCCTCCTCTGCTCCAGTTCGGAGGAGAAGGGGACGTGATTTTTCCATGGCTCAACTATTTCATGTGGAGGAAGGTAGAATGTCAAACATTCCAATTCAGCACCAAGTACCACAAAGGAACCTCTCATTCCTGCCCAATTATTTCTGAACCCTCTCCTCACTTCCACAGCACTATGAACTGGCTGGTCAGCTTAATTCCATTACAGGCACCATTATCAATAACTATAAACTGTCCCATATGTACTGTCTGGATTGCCCTTCAGATGCACTTCTATCACAATTTTCACTTAAGTGATTAGAGGCCAGATTCTGTTTTAACGTGTATCCAAAGCCAAGACTTTCTAAGTTTTAGATAGAGCACATATGGTTTAGAATCCTTGTAAGATTTGTATTGCGGTGTCACTGCTGGGGAGATTCACGCTCTTTATTTGTCCTCGTGACTACTGACAAAATATTGAGTTGTGACTACAAATGGAATAAAAGGAAAATCTTGCAATGGACACATCCTCTTACTTGCTGTTGTGTGTACAGGTAAGGAAGTGAAGGGAAATCTCACCAATGGGACCTAAAGATTTAAAACAAAAAAACAACATTCTCCACACTATCCAAATTTTCAACGCCCCCAATATTAAGTCAGTGTATTAATAGAAGAGCAAGAATGAGGATGTAACAAATGGGTTGCCGCTACCTTCATCTCAGAGGAAGTCTCCCCTCAAGACAGAAAAGTATTACATGCAAAGTAATAGCAGGAAAGCGGAAAGAGCTCTAACGGCTTTACTGATAGAGCACCGTTTGACGGTTATCTTCAAGTAACATAAGGAAGGAAGCTGCCTGTAAGGAAACACTAAGACAATGCAACAGAGGACCAGACTTGACAGTAGTAATGCTTTTAGAGCAGAATGTGAGCCAAATATGATCTGCAAATTGATGTTCAAGACAAAATGTTAAATATGACTAAACTATTATTACTTAAAAGGGAACTTGCCAGATTAAAAGAAAGCGACCAAATATTACTCCTAAAATGAAAACATCTTGTTCTACCTGCAAGAACCTTTATTAATACTCAAAATATTTTCTGTGCTCCCAGGAACCTCAAATTCCAGGTGCTTGCTGTACAGAGGATTCATGTTCTGTTCCCACTATCATTCAATGTTAAATCATGCGAATCTCAGAGAGCAACAGTAGCACCAGAATAGAAATGGCCATATACCAGTAGTATTTCTGCACCTAATTAACAAAGGCAATGTGGTGGTTTCCAATACAGAAAACTACTGCAGATCCCCTCAGATAGGACCTGGCATACAGGATGTAACCTATCCGTTGATAACCAGGCAGACAGCTCACATGCCTCTCTGCCTGTGCATTAAACACACCACATGGGTAGGAAAAACCCCAGCAAATGCAGGGTTAACAGCCTTCCTCCTCCCTCCGCTAAGGGGGAGCAGAAGGGATAGGGCAGGCAGAAGGAGGCGGAGCAGGCAGCGCCATCTTTCCTGCTCTCTATGCCACAGATATGGAGTCTGTGCCCCCTTTGTTCATTAGAAACAGAATCTACTTGGCTTTCTTAGTCTGGAAGCATGGCACAAGTTTTATGCATGCATCACTCTTTGTTAATTCCCCACAAAGTGTCAAAAGCACTCTCCTCTTCTACCCGACCACTCTAGCCTGGGGGCGTCTGCACATACAATGCAGGACTATTAAGCCTGCAGTGTATACAAGTAAAAAAAGCATGCGACTATGGCCAGGAGCACCTCAGAGAGGAGGCTTGGGGG